TCTCAGTCTTCTGCCTTAATGTACGGACTTCTTCTTCCAAATTTGTTGGGTCAGCAACATTCAAATAAAGTCGATGAATAGTTGGATTAACGGCACGACATTCGGGACAAGTGCCTGCACTGTAAACACATATTAAAAATTTTCATTAAAATTATATTGAACATAAACATAAATTGCATAATTTAATATTTTTTATTGGCTATCAAAATAAGGTAGAAATGAGTTTATGTTCAGGAAGCAGTCCGGTCTATATCCCTGAACCTCTCATTTTTCTGGCGATCAAATTTTATAGTTCATGTTTTGAGTTAAGTTTGAAATATAAGGAATTTGTTCATGCCATTACGGTGTCAAGCAATGGGCCTCCAAAAGCACAAATAAGGTTTTGGTGTTTGTCTTTGGGGATGCACACGGTAGTTTATTAATTTATTATATCGGAATGTTAAGAAAGTGAACATAGAAAGTAAAGTGCCCGATTGCATTTAACCTGGTAAGTGTTTGTATCCTTTTCACTGTTCTCTTCATGTTGACACACAGCCTCTACGCGGCCCCACGCGGATGATTGTACTTCTACAATTCTACGTAATTGTACTTCTACAATCATCCGTGTGTCGTCAAATAATGTGTGCAGTGAAATCCTTCTCATGGACATATGACCTTGTGCATCGAGCTTGGAACCCATCATGTAAAACCATAACTCCAATAAAAACGAGGAGTCAACCTCAGATAAGGAAACAATTTACTGTTGACGACACACGCAAACGTTATAAGGGACACGATTTAAGAATATGCACTTGGAATGTCCGAATTCTTTACAGAGACGGTTCGTCTATACAGCTGGTTAATGTCCTCAAGAAACACAAAGCTGACATTACCACCCTGCAGGAAATGCGATGGACGGGACTTAAATATTGCGACATTATGACATCTATTATAGCTGCCGTGCAACAAAGCAGAACAGAAATTCGGTGTCGGATTTGTGGTAAACCGAGCGCTTAAAAATTTGGTATCAATCTTTACATCAATCAACGAAAGGCTTGCTAAAATCCGTATCAAGGCAAAGTTTTTTACATCAGCCTAATTAATGCACATGTCCCGATGACAGCTATGAATGACGACACCAAGGAAACTTTTTGCGAACAGCTTGAACATGCAATTTTATATGCAAGACTTATATTTTTAGATTTATCCATATTTAAAACCATAGAAGCGAACAGTTTTTCTCAGTTTGCAGTCCCCAGTTCGCCGTAAACTATGTGCACATTTGCATCATTACTACTATGAAGCACTCACCCTAAATCATGGTATGGAGATGCATATTCAAATATAAAGCCGAGTCGATTTTAAAGGGTACAGTATATAGCAAAATATATGAAGAACACAATTAAGTTTAGCTTAGAGTCGGTTACTGAAATGGAAGCGAGTTGAATTTGTTAAGACGATTTTGCTTCTTATCATCGTGATTACTATGCATATAACATTTCAACTCTTAAGATCCTCAGATCTTTTAATTATTAGTCTATTTTTAAGTATACTTTCGAGGGCAAAACTAAAGGATGATGAGAGCATTATTTCATTATACTTTATGGCCAGTATATGTTAATGGTTAGCACAAACCTCAATTCAAATGAAAATGTTAGATTCCAACTAATATATGCAAAAATTAAACTAAAGAAAAACTAAAGAAAACAATTAAATGAGTTTACTCCGAGGACATTAAGGAAGATTATTCGTTCGCTTTATTTCATTCTATACACAACGGGATCAACAGTGACATAGGGATCCCCTACAAAAAGTTGAAAATTAAAAAAAAAAAAATTGCGAAAATTATAAAAATATATATTTCATATATATAGAAAATTTTTATTTAAAAAAACCAAATTTTCATATTTTTTAAATCATTCGAAGAATGATAAAATAGCCCACTAGGTGTTGTAAAAAAATTATAATTATAATTTATTATTATTTTATAAATTATAGTATATTTTTTATATATATAAAAATTTTATATATATATATATATAATATATATAATTATATATATATAATTATTTTCTATATACATATTATTACTTTATATATATATAAAATATATTATGTAATGATATTTTATTTACATAATTAATATATACAATATATATATCTATAAAAATATATGTACATCAAGTAAAATTCATATATATGATGATATGATATGTGATATATACATATATATATTTTAATACATTGTATGCATTAAAAGCTCTAAAATTAGAATTTTGGTTCTAATAATTTATATATGTATATATATATGTAATCATATATATCATCATACATCATATCATATATATAATTATATATAAATATAAATTAGAACTAATATTTTTAACTTTCGAACAACAATGAGCAGGTAGTCTCGTCCTTTACAAACTTTGTGAACTAAGAGTAAATCCACTTGCAAGAAAAGAAGAGATAATAGGGAAAGTTAAAAAGATACAAATCATCATTAGTCGTTAGTCGTTCAAAATTAAATTTAATCTTAGTGATCTCTTTACCTATTCGAATATTCCTTCTGCATGTTTCGAATAGGGGAACGTTGGAATTTTTCAAAGCCTTAAATAGGGCGTACCACAAGTATGATTAAAATACGCTGTGTCATTTTTGGTAAAACCTTTTACAAAATTGCAAGTTAACACTTAGATTAAATAGAAATCTCAGGGAAAATTCTAAGAGACATAATTTAAAAAGTCATTGATATTTATTTCTACATAAAGATCCTAAAGAAAAATTCAATACTTTGTTAGTTCAGTTTAGGTTTATATACCTTATATATGAAGAATTCAAAAAAAAAAATCATTTCGCATTTTTATTCGAAATCGCAAACATCATAAGACACATTAATGTTTCTAACATGTTGGCATCAAAATAACTATCATTATTATAGAAAAATTCAGTTATATGTATATTTCTATTAGACACACACGTTCTTGGTTTATGGAAACAATTTATAGGCGGGGCCACCACACTAATTAGATGCTTTACTTAGAAAATCAAAATTATTGCAAGGCATTGATTCTAAAATATTGTAACATATGAACACTGAATTGTGAAATATACACATAATACCATATATACGTACATATATAATACATAAGTACACATAAATAACAATTTGGGTATTACTTTTCTACACAATAAACTGCATGTGTTCAGAAACACAATGGTTATCTAACAAAATAAGTTATTATCAAACACAGATGTATTGCATTAAAATTATATTTTACCGATCTAGCCAACTGCGTATGCAAGGTTGATGAAATACATGTCCACAGGTTGTACAGTATATATCTACGCCATTACGGAATTTTTCATAGCAAATAACACAACTCATATATTCTTCGTTCATTTTATTGACAATTTTTCACTGATCACACTTCTAAAAACTTATCACTTCTTCACTTCTACATTAGAACTCCGCGCAGTACCAGATCCAATAAAGTAATAGGACACGACTTTGCTCACTACAAGTTGCCTCCACTATCAGATCTCAAATTTTACTAACGGGCATTTCCCGCTTTACTTTTTGTTTAGCTACGCGTTTCCCTATATCCAAGTCAAACGTTTTCTTGTCTTTATTTCTTTTTGATTTCTACGAATCTCAAAATGAATCAAGAATATATGAGCCCAAAAAGTATTGACAATGTATTTTGAATTACGGGTGCCTAAAGTTAAGAAATTTTTAAAGTGAATTTTATTGCACAAATAAAAATTATTATATATATACATATGTAGGTAAATATATATTTATAAAATTATATGATTACTTGTATTACTTGTTAATTTTATTGATATAATAATTAATGACAGTCATACACACAATAAGTACACCCAACTCTTTTTTTACACGGTAGATACGTTCCTCAGAAATCCGTGTAAAAAAAAACCGTGTAAAAAAAGAGTTGGGTGTATTATATTAGTTATTAAAATGTTATTACTATGCAGTGTTATAGCGACGGGAGCTGGTTTAGTATGCTGCGACTGCCAAACGAGTACTTATATTTTAAATATACATATGTACATATTATATTATTATTATATATATATACACACAAATTCTACATAAAATTAAATTAGTTCCGCATCATTTCTATTTTTAAATTACGAATTACGAAAAGTTCAACTAATTATCTTTAAAACGCAGTAAATTTCAATGTGTCCACTATGCCAATTTTCAAAACCCCATGGGTGCATATCTCCTAGGAAAAAAATCAGAAAATTTTTTCCCGAGGTACGGGTCTTCTTATTTTATGAAAGGAGCTCATAAAAAAATTTCAGCCAAATCGGAGGTCATGATGTCAAAAAGGTGTTCGAATTGTAAAAGAATGACCCATACACAATAGGGGTATTCACTCTCTCTTGCAAACTCATTGCAAGGTGCACGAAATGCACAGATTGTACGAGAATGCAAATAACAACAACAAAACACACGCACAAAATTTCGTGCAATTGCGTGCAATCTTCCAATACTAAAACCTATAGGGGTATTCACTCTCTCTTGTAAAGTCATTGCAAGGAGCACGAAATGCAAGAATGCTATACAAAAACTGCAAGACTGCGAGAACACCTCTGTTGCAGAATTGCATCATCAAAATGAATCAGCTGTTTTTGCAGCCGTATCACATTGAGCAAAGAAAAATAAAAGTATAACAATGCCGCGAACAACTGAAATACAAAAATGTATAGATTTTTTTATTGAAAATAGTGCTTTTAATATTCTGATTAAAGGTATTAACATGTTGTTAATGTAGTTTTCAGTACTGTATAGTTTCTATTTGTTAGATGATGCAAATTACTGGGAAGTGATGGAGCAATTAAATGAAGACCTTTTGTTTACTTTAGTAAACCATCACGGAAATCACCAACCCGTACCAAAATCTATTCAATGGAGATCTACCATTCTTAAAGAATTCGATGAAGGCCGTTTTTGTCAGATGCTTAGAGTAAATTGGAACAAATTTTCCTTAATGCTATCACTGATAAACACTAGCGCGGAGTTCACTAATTCACATTCAATTCAACAATTCCCTCTCGATCTTCAACTTGCTATTGTTTTATATCGTTTGGGTTTATCAAGCGAAAATGCGGCTATTCGCAAAGTCGCTACATTATTTGGTGTTGGAAATGGGGAAACAATTTATAAAATAACCCGAAGAGTCTTTCGTTTCATATTGGAGCTGCAAACCAAATTTATAACGTGGCTAGATGTAGCTGAACGACAAGATATAGTGGACAAAACCTATCATGAGCTTCCACATTGCATTGGAAATATTGACGGTACTGAAATAAAACTTGCCGAAGCACCAGTGGTTAACCATACATCTTATTTTTCAAAAAATAGAGTGTATTCAATAAAAGCACAAGTCGTATGTGACTATCAGCTGAAGATTCGACATGTCGCAGTTGGTCACTTTGGAAGTGCACATGATGCTCGCATGTTTCGTACAAGTGCTCTCTGCATCCAAGAAAATTCTTTATTTTCTTCGGAACAATGGTTAGCAGGCGATTCTGCTTATCCTTTACTTAAAACTCTTATAACTTCGTTTCGGTCAAATTCCCAACAGCTTGACTACTCCAAACGTAAAACTTTTAACTTACGCCATAGCAGATTTCGTGTAAGGATTGAACATTGTTTTGGACTTCTGAAGGAACGCTTCGGTAGTCTTAAGAAGTTACGAATCCGTATTCATAATGATACAAGTCATAATTTTTGTTCAAATTGGTTCCTTGTTTGTTGCATATTGCACAACATTTTCCGACCTTCATGTGATGATACAGAACACGTGGATTACGTACATGACAACGACGAAGAATCTGATGAGCTTATGCAGAATGAATCTAGTCAGAGAACCAATAAAGGAGCTTCGAAGAGCTTCAATAATTACGAATACAAATATATAAAACATACATATATGTATATATATTTAATAATATATTTAAGAAGTCAATTGCAACATTACTTTTTTTCAGTAGGTTTATTTCAAGACAAGAATAATGTATAAAAACATATAAAAACGTAATATATATATTAATATATGTAATAATAATATAATATAAAAATAATTAGTATAATAAAAATATAACTAATTCTTAATTTATTATTGTTATTTGTTATATTTTTTATCGAGGGGTTGGTGGGGTTTTGCACAGCAGAACGCACGACTTTCGGTGCAGAGCTGGATGATGTGTTGTCTGCAGACGATTCAATAAAATAAATTTCGTCGCCTAGCGCAAAACTAGCTGGTGGCTGTGGCAATGTGTCCGTACATATCACAAGCGGCTGAAAATTAGACATGTGTCCAAACACTTCATTCAATAGTCCAAAATGTATATGTATATAATATTATATTTGTGAAAACTTAATTAATGGCCACATCGTTTTAAATCATTGAACGAAACGCATGTATATAGCATAGCCATAGATTAACATATCTCAAAATTTTACTAACCGTCAATTCAAATCTTGCAATGAGTTTGCAAGAGAGAGTGAATACCCCTATTGTGTATGGGTCATTCTTTTACAATTCGAACACCTTTTTGACATCATGACCTCCGATTTGGCTGAAATTTTTTTATGAGCTCCTTTCATAAAATAAGAAGACCCGTACCTCGGGAAAAAATTTTCTGATTTTTTTCCTAGGAGATATGCACCCATGGGGTTTTGAAAATTGGCATAGTAGACACATTGAAATTTACTGCGTTTTAAAGATAATTAGTTGAACTTTTCGTAATTCGTAATTTAAAAATAGAAATGATGCGGAACTAATTTAATTTTATGTAGAATTTGTGTGTATATATATATAATAATAATATAATATGTACATATGTATATTTAAAATATAAGTACTCGTTTGGCAGTCGCAGCATACTAAACCAGCTCCCGTCGCTATAACACTGCATAGTAATAACATTTTAATAACTAATATAATACACCCAACTCTTTTTTTACACGGTTTTTTTTTACACGGATTTCTGAGGAACGTATCTACCGTGTAAAAAAAGAGTTGGGTGTACTTATTGTGTGTATGACTGTCATTAATTATTATATCAATAAAATTAACAAGTAATACAAGTAATCATATAATTTTATAAATATATATTTACCTACATATGTATATATATAATAATTTTTATTTGTGCAATAAAATTCACTTTAAAAATTTCTTAACTTTAGGCACCCGTAATTCAAAATACATTGTCAATACTTTTTGGGCTCATATATTGTTGATTCATTTTGAGATTCGTAGAAATCAAAAAGAAATAAAGACAAGAAAACGTTTGACTTGGATATAGGGAAACGCGTAGCTAAACAAAAAGTAAAGCGGGAAATGCCCGTTAGTAAAATTTGAGATCTGATAGTGGAGGCAACTTGTAGTGAGCAAAGTCGTGTCCTATTACTTTATTGGATCTGGTACTGCGCGGAGTTCTAATGTAGAAGTGAAGAAGTGATAAGTTTTTAGAAGTGTGATCAGTGAAAAATTGTCAATAAAATGAACGAAGAATATATGAGTTGTGTTATTTGCTATGAAAAATTCCGTAATGGCGTAGATATATACTGTACAACCTGTGGACATGTATTTCATCAACCTTGCATACGCAGTTGGCTAGATCGGTAAAATATAATTTTAATGCAATACATCTGTGTTTGATAATAACTTATTTTGTTAGATAACCATTGTGTTTCTGAACACATGCAGTTTATTGTGTAGAAAAGTAATACCCAAATTGTTATTTATGTGTACTTATGTATTATATATGTACGTATATATGGTATTATGTGTATATTTCACAATTCAGTGTTCATATGTTACAATATTTTAGAATCAATGCCTTGCAATAATTTTGATTTTCTAAGTAAAGCATCTAATTAGTGTGGTGGCCCCGCCTATAAATTGTTTCCATAAACCAAGAACGTGTGTGTCTAATAGAAATATACATATAACTGAATTTTTCTATAATAATGATAGTTATTTTGATGCCAACATGTTAGAAACATTAATGTGTCTTATGATGTTTGCGATTTCGAATAAAAATGCGAAATGATTTTTTTTTTTGAATTCTTCATATATAAGGTATATAAACCTAAACTGAACTAACAAAGTATTGAATTTTTCTTTAGGATCTTTATGTAGAAATAAATATCAATGACTTTTTAAATTATGTCTCTTAGAATTTTCCCTGAGATTTCTATTTAATCTAAGTGTTAACTTGCAATTTTGTAAAAGGTTTTACCAAAAATGACACAGCGTATTTTAATCATACTTGTGGTACGCCCTATTTAAGGCTTTGAAAAATTCCAACGTTCCCCTATTCGAAACATGCAGAAGGAATATTCGAATAGGTAAAGAGATCACTAAGATTAAATTTAATTTTGAACGACTAACGACTAATGATGATTTGTATCTTTTTAACTTTCCCTATTATCTCTTCTTTTCTTGCAAGTGGATTTACTCTTAGTTCACAAAGTTTGTAAAGGACGAGACTTCCTGCTCATTGTTGTTCGAAAGTTAAAAATATTAGTTCTAATTTATATTTATATATAATTTATATATGATATGATGTATGATGATATATATGATTACATATATATATACATATATAAATTATTAGAACCAAAATTCTAATTTAAGAGCTTTTAATGCATACAATGTATTAAAATATATACATATATGTATATATCACATATCATATCATCATATATATGAATTTTACTTGATGTACATATATTTTTATAGATATATATATTGTATATATTAATTATGTAAATAAAATATCATTACATAATATATTTTATATATATATAAAGTAATAATACGTATATAGAAAATAATTATATATATATAATATTTATAGACTGTATGGTATCATAGATGCTTGTATAGTTATATTTATATTTAGTAAACTACCGAAAAACAGTTGATTTTGATCTAACAGATTTGATTTCCCACTAAAACTCTCCAAGTCATTGCTGGGAATATACGGTATAGTAATATTATTTGTCTTTGTTTTGTAAATATCAAAAATATAGTCACTTAAACAGCTAAAAGACTATAACAATCGTAATGTTAATGTATAACTATGATAACGATTGAAATTTCGTGATATTTCTGGAAAGAAATCTTTTGTAAAACACCGATGTTAATGTGTGAAAATATCGTATGTATAAAAATGAGATATAGAAAGAAAGGTTGTTAGGTAAAGGTGTCAAACTTATTATTAATAAAAATCAATGAATAACCTTAAATGTATTTTAATTATCAATTATATTTTCAGAAATAGAGATTATTACTTTAGCAATAACAGCTCAATTTATATCAAATAAAAAAAGTAGAGAAAACTGAGGTACTCCGACCTCACTCGGTAATTCGTTAATAAATAATTCGTCACAAAAAAACCAATATATATTGGACATACATGCCGAGGTACCGAGTTTAGATTCTATTTACAAACTCTATTCTATTTAATATTTTCAATATTAAATAATGTGAAATATTTTTTAAACAATAATCACATTAGCCTTGTTTAATAGAAAAAAGCTTCATCAATCTACCAATGATTTTTTAAAACAGGAAAAAAAGTTTCAAGTATGAAAAGAACATTTTTTTTTCTATTCGTTAAATATAATTTTATATTTGTTAAATTGAAAATTTAAGTATTTCTAATACAAATATTCTTAAGAGAATATTGTATTAATATTTTACACGATGGGTAGAGCAATTGATCTGGTTTCTTCTGCTCATCAATGGCTGAAGAAAATATTCAAGATTTTTTTGAAACGTTTCTGTTCGGGGAAGAAAAAACGGTATCGGTATAGTTCGAGTTCTCTATGGCGCAAAATAGAGCGCAGAGGCAAAATGCACGAAGTGAGTATAAGTCCCTTTGTCAACTATATAAATGAATACAAAAAGGTTTTTTTGCTATATACAAATGGTACACTGGATCTAAGCCATTCTCGAGCTACTGCCACTGGTTTAACTGGTACACAATCTAGGGTCTTGACACAAGACTCGAATTCTGAAAAACTGTTGCGAAATTTTGCTGTTAAGAACTGGAACTCGATGACATATGCACAACGAAAACCGTTCATTGACTTAGCTTTGGAAAAGCGAAAATGGCTTAAAAGAATTGATGAACGGAACATTCCAATTATAGATTCACTTGATCAACTTGATACACCAAAGCATGATGTATCTAACATGGAAACAGAAACTAGACATGAACCCGAACCCGAATTCGAACCTGAACCTGAACCTGAACCTGAAGCTGAATTACAACCTAATTCATCTAACATTAGCACTGAAATAAGCTGTCAGAGTCAAGTCAAACCTACACTAATACCAGATGTATGTGTAACTTCAGGGGCAAACTCTCAGCATGACATGACCAGCCATAAGGAATCTGATAATGAAATATCGGGACATCGCCCGAAACGTAAGAGCGGTATTTACTGTAAGAATTTGGAAGAAGCGAATCAACTTGATATCCAAAATCAAGATGGCCCTAACATTGTTACTAGGGCAAATCGTAAGAAGACTAGGGAACCAAAAAAGCGTTTAAGAGCAAATTTACGTCACCGTGAGAACAGTCGTTCTTTTAGTGAGATGAAAGACGAATCATCAACTCGTAGCTTAATTGGTAAAAGCAATAAGATTAAGAAGCAGTGCATGAAGAATCGTGACGTGTCCGAAGAAGTACAAAAGACTCCAAAAAAGAAGGAAAGCAAAAAATTAGGTACGGTTTTCTTGAAATGATGGACACAACCGTAAAAGCACGTTACATGGAATAGCTCTAATACATTCTTTAAAGAAAATACATTATATATTTAATAAATCATCTACTTTTGTAGTCATTTATCAAATAAAATAGATGAATGTATTACGAAAATCCCAAATATATAAATTATGTTTTATGCAATAAATATTGTGATAAATTATATCATTTGGAGAAACTGTGTAATGAAACTTCCATTTTTGTAATAAAAGGACGAACTTTCGGCTAATTTTTAAATAACCGGACATACGTAATGATTATATTGGTTTTTTTTTATTCTGTGATGTTATAAAAGTACTTTCATTTATTATACTAATGTAAAATAATTATAATTCGTATCAAAAAAAACTATTGAAGTGGGTGTAGAGGAGTCGGTATTGTGGTTCCATAACTCAAAGAACGAACTACATTTAGATACAATGATTATCTGGAACCAAATATTTAAACAAAATGTGAAATTTAATTTATGTAAAGAAATTTATGGGATGAATTAAAATTAAAATACAACTCATGTATTCATTCATCATTGTTATCATTATTTGATTATTTGACAACCAAATTGTTGATATCAAATAAGACGCGGTGTTTGACTTGATTATTGCAACGTCCTCTTAAAAAAAAAATCACTTACCTCACACATCCAAATATTTAAGTTAATTCCAAAATAGTGATGTGATAGTAGCGAACCGAATTGACAATATGTGTGACATCTTCGTCATGTTCTAAAGAATATGGTGCTAACGCACCTGCAGAAGTTTGAGGACTTAAAGTCAGACGTTACTCATGCGTTTCGTGGACACAATGACTTTTCGACAGTTACTTGTGGATTTTCTTTATTTCAAAAGAAATACTTTTGTTTATTGACATATCCAATAAGCTAAAAATGAGCCTCATCATTGAAGATGCGAAAAATTGTTATTTCTTTGTACTTACTGAAATGAATAATCCTTTACTTTGTATACGGACTGGACACTCTATGCATGTTCCAACTAAGAAATTGTACGATAATAATAAAGTAAGAAATCATATATCTTAACCAATATACAATATAAGTTATTTAATAAACCACACGCACTTCTGGCTCCGAACTTAAAGGCGTCTAAGTTAGAATTGAAAATTAAACTCAGGTGATTGGATTTTCATTAAAACTGTAGTTAGTTTTATGTTAAAGTCCTTATCTTATAAATGAAAATTTTTAAATCGATAATATATCAGTAACTCATTTAAATTTTGGATATTTTTCTACTAATGTTTGGAAAATTCGTAACGAAAAAAAAAAATTCATAAAGAAAAAAAAAATTATTAAAACATAAAAATTTATAAAGAAAAATAAATCTATAAATAAAAAAATGCATAAAAAAATAATTCAAAAAGATACAAAATCTATAAAAAAAGCATAAAAATAAAATATAAAAAAGGAAAAATTTTTCTTTTTTCATAAAGAAAAAAAAATAAAAAAGAAAAGAAAAAAAAATGAATGAAGAAAAAAAATTCAAAATTAAAAAAAAATTTTATTTGTAAAATCGGTATGTTAAAACTATATAAAAATTATATATGAAAATGTTTAGAAGGCTTGGTAATAGAACAAACTTATGTTTCAGGAACATGTTCAGATAGAGATATAAATAGGCTATGTTGCTATATATTTCCCATCTAGGAGCGATATGGAAGATCTAAAGGCTAAAGCAAAACAACATATCTTGTTGTTCCAGGATATGTTCCTTACACTTTAAGAAACATAGTTTTCTCTTCTGTAATGTACTTTGACCCAGTTTTACTCTTACAAAACTATAATTGATTGAAAAAATATTTTGCCTTTAAGTATTTTCAATAAAAAAAGATTGTCAAGAAGGTCCTTTACCACATTTCATTTTTTTGAAGTAAGAACTGGCGTAGCGTACATGGATTCACGAGTTTTGATAAAACATTGATTTCGTTAATACATTTTTATAATATTAAAGTAATGCTCATTTATTACCACAAGCCATAATAAATCCTATCTAAATAGATCAAATAATGAAGCTATACTATATACGTATACATATGGTATATATGATTATCACTCCCAGAAAGTATGGAATAATATTGAAACCTTTTTAATAAAAATAAAATCATTTTTTTAATACAAGTTGATTATATATTTAATTAATTAGCATTGTAAGTAACTTATAAATTAATTAAGGAGTTTAAGTATAACATTTGCTGAATTTTTTTTGTTGCTCTTCGTTGGCGTAGCATTTATGAGGCGGTCTTCAAACATTCAATGGGTCAACTTGTTGATTTATGGATCGCATTCAACAACTGTAGTTATTCATCCATCTACAAACTATACTATCTTGGTGATTTTTTTAAGAAATTGAAGTGGGCGCAGTTTCTGATGAACCTGCATCATTTTTGGCTGCTTTCGGTTTATGATTTATTGGAGAATCTTTCTGTACTTCCCTCTTTGACTTATTAGCTTCCTTTGCGTGGTACTCTCTTTTCAAATCATCAATTTGTGCCATACTTGTTATTTCGATTGGTTTTGAACATTTGGTACGTTTTGTGAAAATGCGGCTATTTATACAATAAACAGAATAGAATTTAATGCTTTTTAAGGATTTTGCATGGTTAAGCAAAGTCTCATCAAATGCTTTCGGCTTGTTTTGATTATGGTCCATATTTTGCATTTTCGTGCGATTTTGGGGGAATGAAATATATTCGTGTATCGTTAAAGTACTGAACATGGGATTGTTACGTATTTTGGATCTTACATCAAGGAATTTATCCTTCACAGCTGTACTTTGAAATTGAACACGCAAAGTAACCACTAAACCCTTAAAACCATAATTGCCACGTTGTGTTTTCAATATGGTTACTCTCTTGATGTCACTTTCTGTTATCAGAACAGTTGCTTGAGCAGCTAATGTAAGCACATACATCACCCAATTGCCAGGATTCTCATGTTTTGGTATACCTTTTATCACTACTGCTGTATTAGGTTCTATATATTCGTCTTCAGATGACGCTATTACAGGAAATGTGATATCACCAGACGAAACACATTTGCGCAAACCCTTTGACAATGACAAGATGGTTTTAGAATTTTCGTTTTTAGTAGTGTTTTGTTCATTTGATGACATTAAAGATGCATTTTTGTTCGGCTCATTTTTTGCTTCTTCGGCATTTGTCAAAATAGATGTTGCCATCGGCGATTTATTAAAAACTGGAAAAAAGTTCGGAAAATCATTGCTGGATGGTCTGAAATTCATAAAGTTGACACTATCCCTAAATAAATTTTCATACATGTAAGGAATTTTCATATGTAGCAACGTTTTTTGTAATTGTTCATTTTCATTTTTTAACAGAGTTATATACTCCATCGATTTTTTCAGTTCAGAGGTGGCCTGCTGATGTTTTTCTTCTACAACACAATCGTTTTCCTCAGAAACTGCAACCATTTTTGAAGTTTTTAAGGATTGTTCTAGAGTGTGATTTTTAAGCATTTCCTGTTTTAGTTTAGCTGATATTTGTTTGCTTTGTTCTGTTAAATATTGAATTTGCTCATTTAGATCGACGATTTTTTTTTCTTTCACAGAGCAATTCAAAATGCATTGTTTGAGCTGAATATGTAACTTTTCACTACATTTTTGTCCGTCACATGTACTGTCTTCCGACATCTTATTATTAGGTTCATTAGATTCCACCTGCAATTTAACTTGTGCTTCTAATGCAGTTTTTTCCACAAAAGCCAATTTCAACTGATCTTCCAACTCAATGACACGGTCCAAAATTATTTCCAGCTGAATATCTAATTTTTTGATTTTGCCTGTATAATGGGTTTCCATATAATTTTTTTGATCTGTTAAATCATTAATTTGTAATTGCAGTAATTCTTTTTCATTTACAGTATCGTCTTTGTTTTTATCTTCGGCTTCGATTTCTAGTTCCTGACATTCCATGCTACTACATTTCTGCATATACTTTTCTAATTCTTTTATCAATTGAAGTTGTTGCTTTCTATGTTCCTCAATCTCATTTCTAAGTCGTGTATCTTTGTCAACATATTCTATTTCAATACAACCGTATTTAATTTCGCATTCTTCCAATTGTCGCTCTAAATTATCCTGCTGTTGACTACTTGCTATGATATTTTCTTCCAATTGGTTTTTTAGTTCCAGAACTTTTTGATTGCAATCGTATTCAATATTGCTGCATTTAATAATGTATTCATCTAATTGTTTTTGCAATTCCCCTTGCTTAGCATTACTCTCATTAAAATCTACTGTTAAAAGTGCAATGGTCTCTGCATCACTCTCAGTCTTCTGCCTTAATGTACGGACTTCTTCTTCCAAATTTGTTGGGTCAGCAACATTCAAATAAAGTCGATGAATAGTTGGATTAACGGCACGACATTCGGGACAAGTGCCTGCACTGTAAACACATATTAAAAATTTTCATTAAAATTATATTGAACATAAACATAAATTGCATAATTTAATATTTTTTATTGGCTATCAAAATAAGGTAGAAATGAGTTTATGTTCAGGAAGCAGTCCGGTCTATATCCCTGAACCTCTCATTTTTCTGGCGATCAAATTTTATAGTTCATGTTTTGAGTTAAGTTTGAAATATAAGGAATTTGTTCATGCCATTACGGTGTCAAGCAATGAGCCTCCAAAAGCACAAATAAGGTTTTGGTGTTTGTCTTTTGGAATGCACACGGTAGTTTATTAATTTATTATATCGGAATGTTAAGAAAGTGAACATAGAAAGTAAAGTGCCCGATTGCATTTAACCTGGTAAGTGTTTGTAACCTTTTCACTGTTCTCTTCATGTTGACACACAGCCTCTACGCGTACTTCTACAATTCTACGTAATTGTACTTCTACAATCATCCGTGTGTCGTCAACTAATGTGTGCAGTGAAATCCTTCTCATGGACATATGACCTTGTGCATCGAGCTTGGAACCTATCATGTAAAACCATAACTCCAATAAAAACGAAGAGTCAACCTCAGATAAGGAAACAATTTACTGTTGACGACACACGCAAACGTTATAAGGGACACGATTTAAGAATATGCACTTGGAATGTCCGAATTCTTTACAGAGACGGTTCGTCTATACAGCTGGTTAACGTCCTCAAGAAACACAAAGCTGACATTACCACCCTGCAGGAAATGCGATGGACGGGACTTAAATATTGCGACATTATGACATCTATTATAGCTGCCGTGCAACAAAGCAGAACAGAAATTCGGTGTCGGATTTGTGGTAAACCGAGCGCTTAAAAATTTGGTATCAATCTTTACATCAATCAACGAAAGGCTTGCTAAAATCCGTATCAAGGCAAAGTTTTTTACATCAGCCTAATTAATGCACATGTCCCGATGACAGCTATGAATGACGACACCAAGGAAACTTTTTGCGAACAGCTTGAACATGCAATTTTATATGCAAGACTTATATTTTTAGATTTATCCATATTTAAAACCATAGAAGCGAACAGTTTTTCTCAGTTTGCAGTCCCCAGTTCGCCGTAAACTATGTGCACATTTGCATCATTACTACTATGAAGCACTCACCCTAAATCATGGTATGGAGATGCATATTCAAATATAAAGCCGAGTCGATTTTAAAGGGTACAGTATATAGCAAAATATATGAAGAACACAATTAAGTTTAGCTTAGAGTCGGTTACTGAAATGGAAGCGAGTTGAATTTGTTAAGACGATTTTGCTTCTTATCATCGTGATTACTATGCATATAACATTTCAACTCTTAAGATCCTCAGATCTTTTAATTATTAGTCTATTTTTAAGTATACTTTCGAGGGCAAAACTAAAGGATGATGAGAGCATTATTTCATTATACTTTATGGCCAGTATATGTTAATGGTTAGCACAAACCTCAATTCAAATGAAAATGTTAGATTCCAACTAATATATGCAAAAATTAAACTAAAGAAAAACTAAAGAAAACAATTAAATGAGTTTACTCCGAGGACATTAAGGAAGATTATTCGTTCGCTTTATTTCATTCTATACACAACGGGATCAACAGTGACATAGGGATCCCCTACAAAAAGTTGAAAATTAAAAAAAAAAAAATTGCGAAAATTATAAAAATATATATTTCATATATATAGAAAATTTTTATTTAAAAAAACCAAATTTTCATATTTTTTAAATCATTCGAAGAATGATAAAATAGCCCACTAGGTGTTGTAAAAAAATTATAATTATAATTTATTATTATTTTATAAATTATAGTATATTTTTTATATATATAAAAATTTTATATATATATATATATAATATATATAATTATATATATATAATTATTTTCTATATACATATTATTACTTTATATATATATAAAATATATTATGTAATGATATTTTATTTACATAATTAATATATACAATATATATATCTATAAAAATATATGTACATCAAGTAAAATTCATATATATGATGATATGATATGTGATATATACATATATATATATTTTAATACATTGTATGCACTAAAAGCTCTTAAATTAGAATTTTGGTTCTAATAATTTATATATGTATATATATATGTAATCATATATATCATCATACATCATATCATATATATAATTATATATAAATATAAATTAGAACTAATATTTTTAACTTTCGAACAATGAGCAGGAAGTCTCGTCCTTTACAAACTTTGTGAACTAAGAGTAAATCCACTTGCAAGAAAAGAAGAGATAATAGGGAAAGTTGAAAAGATACAAATCATCATTAGTCGTTAGTCGTTCAAAATTAAATTTAATCTGAGCTGATCTCTTTACCTCTTCGAATATTCCTTCTGCATGTTTCGAATAGGGGAACGTTGGAATTTTTCAAAGCCTTAAATAGGGCGTACAAGTATGATTAAAAAATGCTGTGTCATTTTTGGTAAAAACTTTTACAAAATTGCAAGTTAACACTTAGATTAAAAAGAAATCTCAGGGAAAACTCTAAGAGACATAATTTAAAAAGTTGTTTATAAAACAATCATTGATATGTATTTATTTCTACCTAAAGATCCTAAAGAAAAATTCAATACTTTGTTAGTTCAGTTTAGGTTTATATATCTTATATATGAAGAATTCAGAAAAACAATCATTTCGCATTTTTATTCGTAATCGCAAACATCATAAGACACATTAATGTTTCTAACATGTTGGCATCAAAATAACTATCATTATTATAGAAAAATTCAGTTATATGTATATTTCTATTAGACACACACGTTCTTGGTTTATGGAAACAATTTATAGGCGGGGCCACCACACTAATTAGATGCTTTACTTAGAAAATCAAAATTATTGCAAGGCATTGATTCTAAAATATTGTAACATATGAACACTGAATTGTGAAATATACACATAATACCATATATACGTACATATATAATACATAAGTACACATAAATAACAATTTGGGTATTACTTTTCTACACAATAAACTGCATGTGTTCAGAAACACAATGGTTATCTAACAAAATAAGTTATTATCAAACACAGATGTATTGCATTAAAATTATATTTTACCGATCTAGCCAACTGCGTATGCAAGGTTGATGAAATACATGTCCACAGGTTGTACAGTATATATCTACGCCATTACGGAATTTTTCATGGCAAATAACACAACTCATATATTCTTCGTTCATTTTATTGACAATTTTTCACTGATCACACTTCTAAAAACTGATCACTTCTTCACTTCTACATTAGAACTCCGCGCAGTACCAGATCCAATAAAGTAATAGGACACGACTTTGCTCACACTCACAAGTTGCCTCCACTATCAGATCTCAAATTTTACTAACGGGCATTTCCCGCTTTACTTTTTGTTTAGCTACGCGTTTCCCTATATCCCAGTTAAACGCTTTCTTGTCTTTATTTCTTTTTCATTCCTACGACTCTCAAAATGAATAAACAATATATGAGACCACACACACATCCATGTATGTTGGAAAAAGTATTGACAATGCATTTTGAATAACGGGTGCCTAAAGTTAAGGGATTTTTAAAGTGAATTTTATTGTACAAATAAAAATTATTATATATACATATGTAGGTAAATATATTACTAATATATTTATTAAAGTATATATTTACTTGTATTACTTGTTAATTTTATTGATATAATAATTAATGACAGTCATACACACAATAAGTATTATATTAGTTATTAAAATGTTATTACTATGCAATGTTATAGCGACGGGTGCTGGTTTAGTATGCTGTGACTGCCAAGCGAGTACTTATATTTTAAATATACATATGTACATATTATATTATTATTATATATATATACACTGTAGCAGTACCAGTGATGTTAGTGATGCCACTGCACTCGACGAGACGAATCAATGTACATACATATGTATGTAAGTATAAGTGAAATTCGCTTATCTGTGGATTAATAAACTATAGGGTGTTTTTTAAGAGGTGTAGGATTTTAAATCAGAATCACAAAGTTTAATATAGTATAAGTCAATAGGTTTTTAAAAAGAATTTATTAATAGTCAAATATTTTTTAATTCAATATAAAATGTTCACGTCTTGGGTCTACTGTCCTCTAGCTCAGTTGATCTATAGTCTCAGAGGCAATCTTTAAAAATTATTATCACAGGAGCGCAATCAACTATGGATTCTGACCGTGTGTGCGTATTCATGTTAAACAATCTAAACATATCACCCGCGCGGGATATTCGCAGCGTCAGAGGAGTTTTCATTCCTCAAATATTCAATTGTTAAAACCCAAATCTAAACTTCATATACTAATACTATGTAAACATAAAACATACTATGTAAACTAATACACATATGTATAAGTATGGAAACATAAAAATTTTTATTGTTTACAATGAATTGAAAAAAATTGTTTTAGAATTTCGAACTCAATTTCGAAAATCAAATTTTATCAAAATCATAAAAAGTTTATTATAAATAAAATCTATTTTGACATAATGCGATATGACAGCGATAGATAGAAGGTAATAAAAAACAATCAAACATATTCCTAATATGGCTTTAACATATATTAATCGAAATCGCAGTTTTGTTCACAGTGTATCAATACCTCAAATAACTCATATATCAATGTCCAATGTCGTATAAAATAAATGTACACTAAAATATTTAAAATTTTGCAACCGTTCGATTGCCGTTTAGTCGACAATAAGATATTGTCATTTACACGATACGATAAATTAAGAAACACATTCACTGCAGTGTCTCTCTTTATTTTTAAATGTATATTTAATGAATGCATTATTCTTTTAATGGTTGCCGAATTTATTGGTGGCTTTATCCGCGTATAAATAATAATATTCATAGTAGGTCTGTTCCACGAGCTACTCCTAGTAACTTTAAGTAACACTATATATATACAAGTGCGATCAACCAATAAAATTTCGAGTAAATGAGAGCATCTGAGAGAGCGTAACATCCCCGTCAAAATTTGAAAATGTTACACTGACTTTGTTCGTACATTTTATTTCAAGTAAAATTTGTGTTGATGTTGAATCAGCTGTTTTGGTTTGAATTTAAATTTTTGTATTGTTTATTTGAGTGGCACTGGTGTTCTCACCGGACTTTACACAGAGCTATTCCATGGAAATCTGTGTAAAGAGTGTAATTTGGCACTTTATTTGAGTTACGCTTCCAGTTTGTACTTGCGTTTTACTTGAGATTTACTACGAGTTGCTCATAGAACAGACTTAGTATTTAATATTAAAGTAAATTCTGGTAATACAAACATTTATGCATTCAATTCATATTTGGTTAAAACTTTTCAAATTTATTCATTTATTTATTAAACATCTTTTAAAATTTTTACAATGGTAACTCCAAATTTACTTAATTTTTATCTAATTTACCCTATTCGAAATTCTGATAATTACCAATATTTGCTGCCATCGCGATATAATTTACTATTTCTCTCGATTTACCATATATTTACCCAAACTCGCACACGGCCTAAATGGTAAATTAAGAACAGAGTTACTTGTTCATATACATAGACGTCTATCTATCCTTAACTCTAAAAATATGTATGATTAATAAATAGTGTTGAAAATTTTTGAATATTAAACAGAAAATATCAACAAAAAATAACCATATGCTATTTATGAGATAATAAAAATCTATTAAAATTGTGAATGGTTACGAAGATTTAGTTCTGTTTAGTTGTGCGTTCTATAGGTCAGCATATTGTCATATATTATACATTCTGCCAATATTGTTGATATGGCAACTCTATTCTAGTTCAAATTGGATTTGCGATTTTGTTTTGTTTGATGAGAATCTATACCGTTTGAAGCAGTGCAATTAGGAGTTATAATTGGAGGGAAAAATCCGTTTTCATATTAACTTATGTAGCTATTAGAAGTGTTTTAAACTAATAAATATAATTTAGATTTAATTAAAAAATTAAATAGTTAGATAATTAAAAATTCATATAGTTAATTAAAAATAGAGAAATAGTAAAGCCAAAACTTTTATTTTGCGAATTAAGTGATAACAAAATCAGAAAAAAACAGTGCTTTAATATTCTATATAATGTTAATGATGACAACAACGAATGAGCGGTTGGTTTAACAGTGGTTGCCCATATAATGTAAACAGTGATTTACTGTTAATTTTAACAGTGCATTTCGGTAAATGAGTAAATGAAGTTTCTGTTTTATTACTGAACGCAAACGTCAACATATGTTCTCTCACACGCAAATTTATTTGTTTACTAAAATGTTTGTATATTTATTTTAATAAATATATATATTTATCAACATTTGGAAAGAGAATATTTATTTACTCAACAAAAAATAAACATTTGGTGTGTATATGTACATGAAAGATTGTAGGAACTTTTAAGATTTGTAAAAAAATATAAAAGCCCTGAGTTTGCAGAAGCAGTAAATAGAAAGAAAAACAACAACATTGTTGTTGCACGCATTGGAGATTTTACGAAGCCTGAATGCCATACAAGCAATATACACATAGTAGAAAAAGTCTACGGATATTCACAAAATTTTTCTAAAATTACGCATAACTTTTTTAATTTTTACTCAAATTCATTTTTATTTCCTGATTTATTTTAACCAAAGACACAACAATAAAGTTGCAATATTAAAACTAAACAGTTATTCTTTAAAAAAAATTAAACACAATTATATGTGAAAGTAGCAATTTTTGAAGCAGAAAAAGTCTACGGATATTTCTTAATATTTACATTAAAACAATAAAATTCACAAAAATCTTAAATTTAATAGCCTGTGGGATAACCCCTGCATTTAATAACCTCTGTTAGGCGTCTTTCCATTGACTCAACTAGCTTTGCAGTATCCTGTGCGTTTATTTCTAGCTATTCTTCTTTGATAACGTTTCTTGCTATATCCTTGCTGGAAAACATATGCTGGCGAAACTTATTTTCCAAATAAACCCACAGATGTTCTATAGGACTAAGGTTTGGTGATTCTGGTAGTGTTTGAAGTTGCCTGAGAGCATAGTACAGCATCCAAATCCGTACTATGACTGCTGTATGCTTAGAGTCATTGCCCTGCTGAAACAAAAAGGTTGCCTCAAGTCCTAACATTCTGACATTTTCTTTCAAATTTGTTTTTAGAATATTTAGAAAACCATATTTCTCCATTGTATCTTGTACAAATTCAAGTCTAACCGCACCATTACTTGCTATACACCCCTAAATCATTACGCCGTCACCAACACGTTTTACTGTTTACGGTTTATCACAGGTTGTGCATAATTTTCTCCATACAAGTTTTCTAACTTTGACTCCAAATATTTAAAATTGACTCCCATCGGAGAAAATAACTCATATTCAGAACTTTATAGGTTTATTTATACGCTTTCTTGCACGGCTTAATCATTTTATTCTATTATATCTGGATATGTATGGCTTCTTTCCTGCAATCAGGGTATAATACATGCATTTCTTCCAAATTTTCCGCACAGTATCAGGATATATTTTGTTTTCAAGTATTTCGGCAATATGTTCAGCTAGTTTGAAGGGTGTTACTCTTGGATTTACTTTCACCTGGTTGATTATGCTACGTCTTTCTCTATTTGACAAAATTGTGGGGCGGCGAGTGCGAGGTTTAGAAACGTAAGTACTGGTCTCTTTGAAGTTATTTGTAATTCTCTGCACAGATGAATATTGACGACCAATCTCTTCAGCAAATTTTCTTTGGCTTACGTCATCTTTCTAAAATTTAACAGTTATTTGTCGCGCACTAAAACTAATTTCACGTCTTTTATTTTATATTGTAAAAATTTATTGCTTATATAAAAAAATATTATTAAATGATTGATTTTTAGACTCTTTAGGAGGTCAACTAATAATTAAATATCATTTAATGACACTTTTATGCTTGCAAGCGAATTTAAATTAGCGGTAAATGTACATATTAAGAAATATCCGTAGACTTTTTCTGCTTCAAAAATTGCTACTTTCGCATATAATTGTGTTTAATTTTTTTTTAAAGAATAACTGTTTAGTTTTAATATTGCAACTTTATTGTTGTGTCTTTGGTTAAAATAAATCAGGAAATAAAAATGAATTTGAGTAAAAATTAAAAAAGTTATGCGTAATTTTAGAAAAATTTTGTGAATATCCGTAGACTTTTTCTACTATGTGTAAATCGGAAGAGAAATTTAATTGTAATAATTTCATGGTTTCACTCAAAAAAAAAGAAAAGTATATATATACATTTTAATCTTTAATAACTATTGCTTTCAAAAAAAGTTTACAGCACTTCAGTAAAATGGTTCAATTTTTTTATATAATTGAAACTGTGCATCGCTTTGCCGCGCAAATGTCCCAGACCAAGATAACGCTTAAGGAAAACAAGGTTATTTCCGCCTTCCTCATTATCAAAGAAATCAAAGGAGTAAAGTTATATGATAGTATAATATAAATCGAAGTTTTCTTATGCTCTTTATTAGTTATTATTGTTGTTGTTGTAGCCCGTCGGGATCTGCTTGTTTGAACCCTTTGGGGGATGTTGAACGGAACTTGATAATCTTCGACGAGTGGCTCCGGTACGTAGACCTCGCCGTTCTTGGAACCTTTAGTTATTGCTAACCAAGTTTGTTCGCTTTTTAATATTAGAGATCCAAGAAACATCAATATGGTATCTTGTGGTTCTTCTGTATACGCTTCAACATACTTGCCATCCATACTTATTTAGATAAGGACATATATAAGATACTAAATAATGTGGTATATGTGGACTGTAACGTATATAAGTCAGCATATATAAAAAAATTTACGAGTTGACGAGAAGTTGTAAAGTACTTCACTGCACTGAATACCACAGCTACTTATGTAAAAGATTTGATGTTGTTGTTGTTGTAACCCGCTGGGACGTGTAAACAGATAACATGAATGGATATACACAAAACGATTACATGGGTAGGGAAATGAGTAGGTAGTGCTTGGAGGAGATAGAGTGGGGAAGAGGATGGAAAGGATTGGGTGGATGGGTTGAAATTGGACGTTACCCTGGATCTAGCCGGAGAAACCTGGCTACTTCAATGGGTTAGATCCAATGAAAGATTTGATCGTAAATGTTGGTTAGTTGATGGAAGTATTGAATTCATAAATCCATGATTTTAAAAAGTGTTTTTGCATCATGTTTGTGTACCACTCGCGCAAGATCTCTCCTTGAGGTCAGTTTCGTTAAGATTTGTGTTTGCTAACTCTATTAGATTATTGGTTTATCGAAGGTAGTTATACTCTGTTTTAAAAGAGGCATAAAAAAATCTTTATGTATCAAAATATCTACCTTATGAAAGCTAAACTTGGTGATCAACTCAGCCTTTAAGCAAAAAAATTATACCATATAATATAATATTATATAATACTATATAATATTGTATGGACTCTAAACACAGTTTATTTGTGAGTGATACTAATCATTTACCAAAACATTAGTACCAAATTCATTTTTACAAATTAATAAATCTATATTGTTAAACGCTTGTGTGAAACCAAATTAAACTCTGTTTAAACTCTGTTATTTTAATTTTAATTTAATTTAATTTTTTTTTTAACATGATTTATAAAGAGGATTTTTCTCATGAATTCTATTTATTTTATTTTTTATTTAACTTTATATTATATAATGATTTTTCTATTTATATAACTATTACAGAACCTCTACATATTTTACTGTATTTACTAAGTGGTGAAGAGATGGTTTCATTTCTTGAGGATTAATTTAACAGTCATAACTTTAGAGTTAATTATGATTTAAATCAAGCTTAACTCATTAAATTTGCTTACGTTCATACAAAAGTCAGTCAAATCGGGCCTGAGTGGTTTGAAAAAATCTCGTAAATTCAGAATCTACTTATCTGATTTCATTATTTCAAAATATAAAGAAGAAACTTAAATAACATGATTTCGAAACATAAGTTATTCAATAATCAATTACAATACCTGTAAGTATTACCTTATTACCTGTATTACCTGTTTATGACATATGTAAAATTTATAATAAACTTTTAATTACAGATACGGCAGGATAATATATCTCATGAATTCTATATATATATATATAGTAAACATCTTGAAGGATATAGCAATTCCGATGGTCTCTCCAATAGAAAACTAATTACCATAATGTGAGTATGAATAATAAATTAAGTCAATTCTCAGTTTCAAGAATATAGTATATTATATAGTTTATAACTCAAATGTTTGCATTGTTAACACATTTTACTTTAGTTATATATATAGTTATATAGTATATGCCTTTATACATCCAGGTTCGTTTGTTAATTAATATAATCACTTTCGTAGGAGCAATTTGTGTTTCAACAGCTGTTCTTGTTAGTATGTTTTTCTTCTTATATCGAAATGTTTACTGTTTATATAAAATTTATGTTTTAGTTTTGGTCAATACTATTTTTTGATTATTATATCAAGTCTAGTTACTTTGTTCAATCAATCATCATTAATCGATTTTAATATAATTAAGATACTTGTTTATTTCACACTTTGTATCGCAATTTGAAGTCTATATCGTCTTTTACAATACATTTAACTGATATATGATATCAGTTACAAAAGTAAATATGTATATATCGGAAAAAAAAATATATATATATATGTATTTACAATCTTAATACGAAATTATTTAATTCTGCACCTGCTTATTGATGTATAATACATTTATATATCTCTTATATATATCTTTTTGTATATCAGTTGTCAACGTCCCTTTTCAAATTGAGCCTGGTGTTTGGTGGAGTTTTCCAAATTGCGAATATCTCCAAGAAATATTGTTTGCATTAACTATTTCCTTGGTGTGAAATTGGTATAGAGGCGTATTTCTTTCTTGTTTTTTAATTCATTTTTAGTCGTTCCAACATATACCTGGTCGCATACGTTGTATCCGTTGCCTTTGCAGTTGATTTGCTATACTACATTTGACTTCTCCAAATTTTTTATTTTATTCATCAAGTTGGAGTACATTGTGTTTACTGTGTTCCCAGATCTTTTGTGGGGTATTATAATTTAGTTTATCATATATGTTCGATGTCAATATTTGGTTTAAAAATTTGTGATAATGTATAATGCTTTTATATATTTTGTTATCCTTACTTCTACTATCATCCTGATTGGTGTTTATGTTTTTGATAATATTTTCCACATTAGTAGAGAGAAAATCATTTGCCTTTTAAATTTTTCGAAATTTATTTTCCAATTAAAAATGGAATATTGGGTCTGTTAGATGTAGTATTCTTTTTACAATACTTTTAGCTGCATTCTGCACTACATAGTACGGATGATTTGAATTAAAATTGATTATTGATGCTGTCAGTTTTTGATAGCATTTTGTAAAAACAAGATTTTTATGTCTCAACAGTTTGATATCAAGTTAAGGAAGCATATTATTTGTTTATTCTTCCATTGTAAATTTAATATTTTTATGCAAATTATTTAATATTTTTAGAGTTTTATCATTTTTATTTAGTTTTACTATTACAAACATACCGTCTACGTATTTGATCAAGATTCTAGGTTCGGAGACTAGTTCTTCGAAATTCATCCAATAATATAATTAAATAATTATTTAATTAATTATTTTATTTATTATTTATTTATATTTATTATTATATATTTATATTTGTTATGACATGTTTTAAAATCGGATAAAAAGAATCTTAAAGTTGGAAGTTCTTGTCTGAGCATAAAGTGAGCATAACTCATTTATAACGCAATCCGATCTCTACCATATATGATCCGGCTGTGCTTAGTCACTTCTATTCTGGTAAACAGACACTAAAAATATAGAATACTTTTTGTTACAGTTTTCACTTTTTCAGTTTTACAAAATAAAAAGCCTTTTATTCTGTAATATCGCTAATATTGCTTTTAGGATCTTAATATAACCTCTTGGGAACTATACTTTACCACGATATGGTTGTAATCCCCGATGAAATATAAACATTAAAACAAAATATTGACTTTTTCATTTATAAAAAAAAGTAGTAATATTTTTCATTTCGTAATGCTAATCTTATATAATCATCTAAGTACGTTGAGCTTTAAAGTGATAGATAAAGAAATAGAAATAGAAAAAAATAGATTTTAAAATACCATTTTCAAATTATTGAAATAGTTTTTAAAGATTTCTGATCTCTTTGATTATGAGAATTTCAGATATATTTTTTTATTAATTATTATTTTTTTAATCTAAAAACTACACACAATTAAACTTATAAATATGTTCAGAGACTACTGGTAATAAAAATTTAGCAATATGCGGAAAAGCTTTACGGTTAACCTAAAGTAATTATTTTTTTAAATTATTAATTATAATAATTTTATATTAAAACAAAAATGATTAGCTTTTAAAATTTTCTCTATTTGTTTTTATTTTTATTTTTTTTGTTTATTTTCTATTTTTTTAAATTGTATTTGTTTTTATTTTCATTATTTTTTTTTAATTTTTATTATTTTTTTTTCAATTTTTATTATTTTTTTTTTAATTTTTTTTTAATTTTTATTTTTTTTTTCTTGGAGATATTCTTTTGTAATTTTTATTATTTTTTTTAAGTTTTATTATATTTTTTTAATATTTATTATTTTATTTTCATTTTTATTGTTTTTTTTGTTAATTTTTATTTGTTTTTATTATAAATATTTTTTTTTTCATTGATATTTATATATTTATACATTGTTTTTCTTATTTATTTATTTGATTGATTTATTATTCTAATTCAATTTATTTTTATTTGAATTATTTTTAGTTTTCTATTTGATTTCTTTTTATTTTTCCATTTAATATATTTTTTTTTTTGTGACATATTTTAGTTTTTTGTTTGGAAATTTTGTTATTTTTACTTTTTGTTTATAAATTACTTTTTATGAATATTTTTATTTTTTTACTTTGTTTTTTTTTATTTGATTTTTTTACTTCTATTTTTGTTTTCTGTTTTGTTTATTTAAAAATTATAATATGTGTAAAAAAACTTATAAGAAATTTATAAATTTTCGTTTAATTTAAATTTTATTTATTATTTATTATTACAAATTAAAATTTGTATTTGATTACATTTTTTTTTTCATATTTTTATTTATTTAAAATATTAATTAAATTAATTACTTTTTTTAATTATTCTTTCCTAAAATTTTTTTTGCTGAGTTTTTCTCTTTTTATTATATATATTAAGAATCTTTCAACTTATTTTAATATGTTTTTATTATTAAAAATTAATTGTTAATACGATCAATTTCAACCATAATTTTTTTTTAAATATAAAAAATTTTTTTTTTTAAATACAAATGAATAAGTGAAATTTTTTATCATTTTTTAAATAAATTACCCAATCCCGTTTATTAAAAATTAAAAAACTTATTTTTATAATTTTTAAATTTTTTTATTTTTAGTTTTTAATAAAATAAAATTAGTTTAGCAAAAATTTCATTTATATAAAGACGTGAACATTTTTCTGTGTCATGTTTTAAAGTTCAAAAATTAAATTTTTATTGATCCTTTTTTAATTTTTTTAAAATTAAATAGAAAGGATTAGAAAATATTTAAAATTTGTTTTAATTTGTAAAATTCGTAAATGATAAACATATTTAAAGCAATAATTGCTGTCATTATTTACTGTTTTAAATGACTTTAATCTAGTATAGACATAGGCCTACAAATACGTGATTTCGACCATCCAACACTACATACCTACCTACCGACTTATCAAAAATTATAAACTACAATTCCTGGTACAACAAATTTCGGTAATTTATTTTGATAAAGATAACAATACTTTCAATTTATCAACAAATGTTCTGATCAATTTTCTGAATTATTGCATATACTCTCGTACATGTCTATATGTCTCTGCGCTATCTTTTCTATAATCTTATTCGTATATTGTAGGCCTAAAAGGTGTGCATATAATCTGATCAATATTTTAATCTAGTATTATTAATGTTGATAATTGAAAGGCAATATATATCATAAAATTAATAGGTTTTCACAAATAATAGTTACTGATATAAATTAACCAACTGTCGGCTACAATTGACAGAAACTATTTTGCCCTTCTGCCGTTTACATGTCGTTTTTACAATTCAGTTTTGTTTTATTCTTACTGTGAAAACATGGATGTCTCACCAGCTGTGAACATACTTGAAGATAAGGACATTTTTCCTGACTTTAAAAGTGGACCTCTGTCGATATATCGAAAGAAATCAACCTTCTGTTATAAACGGATGAATGTTTTATTGGAAGGAGAAGAGCATATACGATTGAAGGTACGTCAAGAATGCCCAACAGTGTTTATTAATGAAAACTCTAAATTGTAGTGCAAATCTATAAGTAATAGTCCAAGATAGTGGGATTTTTGAATGTGAGTAATGACTGTTATCGTTGATATCTTATCTTTATTTGATATTTGTGGGTTAGTTTTAATGTTTATTATAGGAAAGAATGAATCGAAATTTTTTTGTTTAAAAATTGACCTACAATGGTTGTGCATACATGAAATAATAATGAATAATTGTGATACATACATATATATATATATATATAAGTACTTTTAGTTTTTTGATAAAGCTGTCTGTGCTCAGAACTCAATACTTGAAATATTATTTAATTTCTTATACCTATCAAAATGCGGAAATGTGATGTTATTTCTTATACCCTACATATAATAGTGCAAAAAGAAAATTAAGTCTATGGAAATGATTTTACCCTTATGTTATATTTAAACCGGTGTACGTGTACGGTGTTCTTATATCAAAATAAGTTGGTTTGTTATACAGTCCGTCATGATACCAGAACAAGTAATGTAACATGTTGAATTAAAGTAAAAGTTAAAAGTTTAAACGTATCAATGTACACGGTCTACTTATAGAATCAAAGTTGTCTTATAATAAAGATACTTTTTTTTTAAAAATAATTATTTGTAAAAGTAGCACAAGCATATTTACAGTATGTTTATAACATTTCTTATATACATTATATACATTTCTTATAATATAATCATCCTCTTATTGTCTGTGAGGTCTTTTAATTTTAGAACCATTGGGTAATTTTTCTGCAATTGTTTGCATTTTTTGCTTGTGCTCTATAATTGTGTAACTGCCATCTATCTTCCTCTCTAGAGTATCCAGGTTTTCACATTCACTTACCTATAGTTACTTTTTTTTTAAAAAAAATATAATCAGTCTGATTATGTACTCAAGCTGGGTTAGATTAGATGGAAGTGGTGGCCTTGTGCACTATTATGTTGTAGTCTGCGAGTCGCCCCTTTGTGTTCGTGGTGAACGACATTTGGTCGGCGAAATTGACGACTGGCTTCGGTACGTTGACCCGGCCGTTCTTAAAAACCATTATACTTCAGCTGACTTGACCTCTATTGTTTGAAAAATTATTCTGTCTTTTTCTTTTATTATGTCTAGCTTATGATAATAGAATCTTTTGCAGACACCTGTTTTATTGAACTGATTTAAATATTTTTTTGAATATAACAATCCCAATTTTTTGTCATTCAACATATCTCACTTTAGAGATATATCACTTTAGTGGCTTTTATTTGAGCGCCATTTGGGAATTAAATTATTTGCGTCTTGTAGACTTTGAAGAATAGTTTCTTTAATAATATATAAGCATAAGATATAATTGTCTGTAGTTTCTCAGTATAGTTATTGTTATAAGAAGTAAAATCAAAATAATATTGATTAAAAATTAGTGTGCAGTTCCACACTCAGATTTCTTTTAAGGTCCAAATTTTTTTTCATGCATCATTCGAAAATAATATTCTATAATTTATACTTATTGTTTGTTAATAGTTATTAGCTTAAATTTAAAATAGATCTTAACATTAAAGACTCTTGTGCAACATTTTTTAATATAATACCAGATTAAGATCTTTTAATTCTAATGTATTCTGATATTCTTTTTTTTAAATTATGTGATGGTCATTTATTGCATTATGGGTTTAGAATTTTCATGAATATTTAGGGTTAATTAGTTATATTGATTTAAGTCAATACGATTTAATTCTAATATTATTTCAGCAATTTTTTTCATTATTTTAATGTATTTGCCATGATTGACATGGTAAATGGATCAATGCTTTCTTTTACATTTTTCAATATTTTCCTGCTTTATTTTCCCTTTTTCTTCCATGCTACATAAATTAAGCAAAAATAGAATTCATGGAGTAACTTCATTTTTTTGAAATAATCGACATAATTTTTGGCTTATGTGCTTCAGATGTTACCTGTTTTGTATTTGCTAAAAATAATGTATATAATTTATTCCGAACAGCCCGTGTGCTTTTACCAGAATGTATCTGTAGTGAGGTTTGTTTCTTTAGTATCCCGCAACTATGAAAATAGACCATCCTTTCCACACAATTTTAACATAAACTGGCACAAAAAATTATCTTCGCATTTTACAAGCCGTTCCCAAGAAATAAGAACAATTATTTCTTAATTCCTTCAGTATAAGTTGTCAGTAATATGATTTATGTGAATAATTTAATAAATTATTTTTTTTTTATTTTAGCATGAAGTTTGGCGATTTATGCAACGGCACCCAGATTTTCAACATGAAGTTGAAACTCCTAGCCTAGACTTCCAGCGTGAAATGGCCAATAAGAGAGTACAAATAATCTGGCATCAACAATTCTATAGCATTGAAGAGGTAAGCCGAGACAAATTTAACCAAATCAATAAAAACTAGAAAAGTTTAATATTTTTTTAGTATATAACAAAACCTAAGCTAGCATTAGCTATGGGTCAAGCTATATTCAGTTATGAGTTTAGTTTTCCGGTTAAATATAGTCTCTCAATGGCTTTCTTTCCATCCACAATACTATCGCTTGGTAGCCATCATTTGGTTAAATATGCAGACAAATTGTCGAATGGTGATATTGTTGGTGCTTTAGCTTTAACTGAAATAAGCCATGGAACGAATATACGTGGAATGCGTACACGTGCTACATACGATGCAAGAACTAAGGAGTTTATATTACATACGCCAGATTTTGAGGCAGCCAAATGTTGGGTAGGAAATTTGGGTAAAACTTGCACCCACGCTGTACTATATGCACAACTATATGTTCCAGATGACAAATATTGTGGCCTGCATGTATTTCTGGTACCAATTAGGGATGAACAAACACTTTTAGCTTTTCCAGGTGTGACTGTTGGAGATTTAGGAGAAAAAATTGGTCTTAATGGTATTGACAATGGGTATGTAGACTCTTAGTATAACGTAAAATTTCTTTCTAATAATAATTTTAAGTTTTGTCATGTTCAATGAATATCGTATACCAAAAGAAAACTTACTATCCAAAACTGGTGATATTGATGAGAATGGTAACTATAAAAGCACTATTAAAGATGATCGTAAGCGTATGGGTGCTTCGCTCGGCGGACTGTCATCCGGTCGGGTCAATATATGCCACTTAGCGTATATAGCTTTAAGTAAGGCAATAACAATAGCAACTAGATACTCAGCATGTCGCAAACAATTTGGTCCAGAAGACACTACAGAAGAATGGCCAGTAATTGAGTATCAGACTCAGGTATCTGGTGTATATTTTACAGTTTTACTCTTTTGAATAATTTTTTAATGAGTAATTTTTTGTTGTAGCAATACCGACTTCTACCATATTTAGCAACTGCTTATGCATTACGTACATTTACAATGTGGCTGGGTACTGAGAATGTAGCTATGACAACAAGTACATTTACTGGAGAAGATGTATCTAAACTTGGTATGGAAATACATGCTGTTTCGTCTGCTGCAAAACCAGTCTGTACGTGGGTAGCACGCGATGGTATACAAGAATGCCGAGAGGCCTGTGGTGGACATGGTTATTTAAAGGCAGTGGGCTTAGGAGATTTACGTAATGATAATGATGCTAACTGTACATATGAAGGCGAAAATAATACGCTCATACAGCAAGCATCTAATTGGTTAATAAGTTTGCGCCGTAATGGTGCAAATTTTGCGGAAAATTCACCCTTGGACACAATAGCATTTCTCAAAGATATGAATCAAATTTTGAACCATAAAGCTGAAGAACGTACAGTAGAGGAAGCGTTGCAACCAGATAGTAAATGAATAAACAAATACTTTTGAAAATATATTTAAAGCTATATTTTATCTTTAGATTTATTAAAAGCCTTAAATTGGTTAGTTGCCTACCAACTAGATACTACGGTTAAACGTTTCGAAAGTTTGAAACGTGAAGGAGTAGATGCTTTCGAGACACGTAACAATTTACAAGTATTTAATGCTCAGCTGCTATCTATTTTCTATGCTGAGGTAAGATATTAATAGTATGAAATTATTGTGATTTTGTATTATATAACTTTGTTTACATATGTCAGTCAGGGTTTGTTGATCTAGCTAGCCGTCAGACACGTATAGATCGATGGATCAATAGCGACACCAAATTAAGATTAATCCCCTTGTAGATTTTTTTCGTAGGCGTTATTACGAATGTCTTTTACTGAGACCGAACCACAAAGTATTTTAAAAGATAGTTTTAAGTGTACTTTTGCAACAGATCCCAGTAGGATTTAATTCCAGACTTTATTAGCCATAGTAGTAATACAAACAAACTGTACTATCGGGGCGGAGTTTTCTTAACATAATATAATGGAAATTCTTTTTTGATTTAGCTATATGTTTTTCTAACTTTTAAATGTCTTGGCGGTTGCTAGTAAGTACTGTATCAGCATAAAAACCACAATTAGCCTCATTTAAAAGGCATATCTAATATTAGTGTACATTTTTTGTCATTAAAAGAGTTTATGTTTTTCATTTTTTTTCTTATTTTGAGTGCTATTTGCGAGCACTTTTTAATTTTTTGGGGGGTGTTACATGGCAATGTAGAAATCTTTTGTGCCCCTTCATAGATTCAGTATACTTCTCTAAGTCTAATTTCTCCAGTAGGTGTTTTGCGGTATCATTTTTTGCCTTACAAAACCTAATAGTTCCATTAAAGTAATTTCTCAGGTTTGTTAGGAAATAAGTCAATCTAGAATGCCCTGCCAGAACATTTTATGGTAAGAGTATCCTTATATGCTACATAATACTCTTAGTTTCTGACTTCCCATTTTTCAACAACATATTGTTTTAATGCGTATATTTTTTTAATATTTATATTTTTTAATATTTATCTTAAGTATTATATACGACACTATTATCAAAAGCTACCAGAAGCGACTTGTCAACAACAGTTATCTTACCTCTTTAAAAACATAGAACTTTAACTCCATCAAGAGAACTTTTTGGTTAAGTTATGTTAGGGTATATGTAATTTGTTGGACAATTACTTATCTTCTAACTTCCCATTTTGTAATGATATTACTGTTGTGATATCTTTGCCGACTGCAAAGCTTTCCCGGAACTCTTTTTCATAATTCTTATGGACTTTTACTTTTTCGTTTAGCAACAAAAACAACAACAGTTATCTCACCTCTTTAAAAACATAGAACTTTAACTCCATCAGGAGAACTTTTTGGTTAAGTTATGTTAGGGTATATGTAATTTGTTGGACAATTACTGATCTTTTGACTTCCCATTTTGTAATGATATTACTGTTGTGATATGCTTGTCGCCTGCAAAGCTTTCCCGGAACTCTTTTTCATAATTCTTATGGAGTCCCACATTTTCTTTTAGACATTCTTATACACTACTTTTCTTTTCATGCACTGTTACTGGTTTCTTTTTTTGTTTCCTGGTTGTTAGGTTTCTCACGCACCCATGTCAATGTTGACTCGGAAATCTGTTTTGTAGGGTCTTTCAACGCGCATAATTTCTAGTCTTTAAAAAGATTAATGTGTATATAAAAATTCTTTAGGGTAAATTTAATAGTTCTCAATTAACTCTTTTACTTTTAATTTTTATTAAATTTTAATTCTTTTTAATTTTTTTTAGCGAACAATTTTTTACATCTTCTACAAATTCGTAAATCAACTGGAGAAGTCTAATGAAAAATCAGTACTCACAAATATTCTATCATTTTATGGCGCTAATCTAGTTCAAAAACATTTTGGCATATTTTACGAAGGTGGCTATTTTCATAATAGAACTAATTCCAAACTGTATAAAGAAGCTATTTTGGAGATGTTACCGGTATTGAAAAATGAGGCAATATCACTAATAGATGCAATTGCACCGACAGACTTCGTATTAAATTCACCACTTGGGATGAGTGATGGCAATGTAAGAAATTATGTAAAATTGTGAAATACTAAATGTCATACCGCAAGAATAGTTCACACGATAATGATATAGCCATACATATTTCCTTAGGTTAATTGTAAGAGACTATAATGATAGTGATTGAAAAATTGTAGATAGAATTCAAAATTTACTTCAACCACAACTGTTTACATGCTGTAATGCAAAGTACTTGAGCATAGCTTAATCGCTTTACATGTTTTAGCATAAAACCTCTTAGAGTTTAGATGAACTATTTTAAAGATAAATTTCTAGTTTAAGTATTATATATCATAATATTATTCCCTTTGTTTGGTTTAATTAGATATAGACTTGTTGTTTAATCCAGCCCACTGACTGGAATGGATTCATAAACCACTATTAAGTTCATATGTCTAATATAACAGGTTAACACATAGACGAACAAGAATAGAGGTACAGAGGGAGTCACTATCATCATTAAATTCTGTATCTCCCATTGGAGCATAGGGCTTCAATAAAGCATTTCCATCTGGTTCTGTTTTTTTTCGCCAAAATCTTCAGCTCGTTCTACGTTTTTCGGAACTTCTCGATGTTCCTTTGTAATATTTTTCTCCATGTGTTTTTAGGACGTCCCTTCTTACGTCTGCCTTGAGGGTTTCAAATAAGAGCTTATCGACAAGTTTTCGTGGCGTCCTTTCGCTATGTGTGACCTAGCCGTAGCCATTTTTGTGGTTTAATGTGATTGGTCATTGGTATCAATTTAAATTCTTCATATAAGTAGGACTTACTGATGACATTTGACCAACAGAAATTCAGAATACGTCGAAACATCCTTTGACGAAACTTTGAATTTTTCCAGTAAGAAAGTCGGTTACAAACCAGGTCACACATCCATAGAGTAATATAGAGGGAGTCCGGAGTCATTTCAGCCCAAGGCATATTGAGCCTCTTGTTAAAATGTGCAATGTTGAGTTTTGACAAGAGTAAATGTTGTACTATTGCGTTGTATAAACCTATGAGGCCTAAATTGTAACATAAGAATAAATAAGAATAAATGCGATCGCATTTACTAAAGCAAAAAAAAGTTATATATAAATTGTGTTGCACAAGATTATGCGGTCCCCACAGTTAAAGAAATTATGAAATGATCGGCATATGTTGTGACTAGCTCATCAAAGGTTGAAGAGAATGGATATGGTGAGGAACACTCTGTTTAACGTGTTAATTTTTGGAGTTTGTTTTATAAAATCGATAAATATGCTCTGTTCCCAAATTAATTAGAAACTCACTGTTTCCTTCAGAAATATTGAGCAAAAAAGATCGTGTCAAATGTTTTTTCCTATTAATACGGTACCAATTCGCTTGATTTTTCTTCGGCGTATACGAGTCAGTTATTGTTGTTGTTGTTGTAACCCGCCGGGACCTGCTTGTGGAGTCCCTTTGGAAGGTGTTGAACGGTACTTGGTCGTCGTAGGTGACGAGTGGCCCGGGACGTAGACCCGACCGTTCTTGGAACCACTTATTCAACCGGTCTGGTTCGGTTACAGAATGTTGCCTTCAGCTTCTACTATTTAGAAAATATTGAATGAAAAAACTTGATGATGAGGACGTCGAACAGTTTTATTGCTTCTTAGAATATATATATACCATATAGTATAGTCTTGGTGGTTAATCTGCATTAGATTTTGAAATTAGATTCTTAATTGAATTTTGTCTAAGATAAGTCATTTAATAATTTGGTATTAGTTAAATACTAAGATTAAAATAAATAAATAATTATTCTCAATTTTAACAATAACTAACTTTTACATAATTTATCATGAATTATAATTAAGTTATATTTTTTTTATAATTATTAGGTTTATCAACATTTACAACGCACTATTGTAACAGCGCCGGGTGTATATGAGCGCCCGAATTGGTGGCGTCAAGTAACTTATAAGGATTATCTCCAAAAGTCTAAAATATGATTTTAAATTACTAAATATTTCATATATATTTTGTATGTAATATAAATGCTTTTAATAAAATGTTTAATGCAATGCAATTTATTTAATAAAAATAAAAATTAAATAAACAAAATAAATTTCGATTCTGAAAATATTTTTTACTTTATGTTTTAAAAGCTAGGTATATTGGAAGTTTGATCTATTGTAAACATTTTCCAATAATGTAAACATTATCTATATATAATTTAAAATTGAATTTTTTATTTAAAAACAGTGAAATATTTATTGTTGCGACAGATCTAGTTACTTCATGATCGAAGAGGTCAGTTATGATCTTCAAATATTACAACTTATAATAAAACCTAGCGTGCGATTAATTATGGGGTGTATATATTTTCGAATCATCATCTTCTGAATTGACTTCTCTTTGTACTTTGTTGGGCGCATATTAAAAACGCTATTGACATTTATATCGTTTAGCAAATAGAAATGCGCCAAATCTACTGGAATAAGTGGAATTGTATAAAGTAGTATTCATAGTACTTGTATTTAATTCATCAGCTATTCTCCTTCCTTGAGATTCGGCGGCATTAGCTACTGTTAATCGGACAATTGTTTCTTAAATGTGCAGCTTCTTTTTTATTCTGGTTTAAATACAACAAATATTGTGGATGTTATTGTAGCAGATAATAGGTCTGTTCCACTAGCTACTCATAGTAACTTTGAGTAAACACTGTGTATACACAAGCGCGTTCCACCAGCAAATTTTCAAGTATTTTTGTGTAAATTTTACTTCCGTTTTACTCATGTTTTACTATGAGTAGTTCGTGGAACAGACCTAATATGAAAGAAATTAAAGATACAAATACATAGGTTAGGATATGGTTGGATAAAGGAAGTGTGAAAGAGAAGGAAGTCGTTTAGAAACAATAACAGATTGTGTATGAGTGGTGAAGATTCAAGAACGGCGGGGTCTACCTCTCGGAGGCATTGGTCAAGTTTGATGGTCAAGTGACGTTCAACACTCTCAAAAGGGACAGCACAAGCAGATTTCTGCTAGCTATAACAACGACAAGATAGACGAATGTGTGGGATTTCAATTTTAACAAATCTGGGTTGAGGTGAAGAAACCTAATCACTAACTACAAAGTCAAAGATAAATTGGGTTTTTTGTGCCTTCATATATAATGTATGTAAAATCTTTCTCTATCCAACTTTTGTATGATAAATAAATAATGTAATATAATGTAAATAACTTATGTAGACAATATGTGGAAAGCTGACGCACTGCTTCTCGTACGAACAGCAATATCTCACGACCACTTCAAGGTGATGCTAAGATTTATTCGATTTGATAATGAAAATACACGTGCAGATGATATAAGAATAAACAAAGTTGCAATGATTCGGGACAACTGGACAATATTGAACAGAAATTTAGGAAAAAGCCTACAAATTATATGACTACATCATTGGCGACTAGCAATTATTTTCATTCAGAGGCCGTACGAAATTTACACAATATGTACCCTTCAAGCTGGCATTAAATATGGCATTAAAATTTGGGCTTATGATGCATCAAACACCTTCTACTTACAAGGTCATATTTATAACGGCAAACCATATATGGTCCTCGACAAGTAAACGTTGGTGAACGAACGGTTATAGACTGAGTTTACTTGTATAAAGGATCTGGAAGAGATTTCGTTACCCACAACTTTTTGACATTATTAAAGCTAGGTAGGCCATTAAACTCCTGGAGCATGGCACTCGTTGGAACAGTCAGAAGAAATAAACAGTTCCTGCTAAACAACATGCAGTCGCCAAAAGAAAGACCTGTGATTTCAACAATCATGATGCAACAATCTGTTCCTATGTACCAAAAAAATAAATAAGTTCTACTTCTATCAACCATGCGTATGACAGGAGATATTGCAAATTATCAGAACGCCAAGCCAGAGATAATAAAATTCTAAAATAAAATGAAAATGGACGACGTATTCTGCTACCAACAGACTCATGGCAGACGTGAAGCTACCGCAATTGTTGGTAATTGTCATATTTGCCAACATCTGAGTTGGAAGTAACGAAAGACTAGAAAGTCATGTGTAGTTTCCGTGAATACATTATATCAGCGAATTTCTTTTTCTAATATAAAGTCTTTAATTTTTCTAGTAATAATTTATCTTTTAAAAAAATTTTTTTTCATCCATTTGTACAAATGGTGCATGAAGGTACCTTCTTGCACCTAAGACTTCTTTATTGACGGTGAAATCAATTCAATTTTATATTTTAGAAAGTTGTCTAGATATTTTTCTAAAATTTTAAAAATATTATCTTAAGCAAACGTGTAGAGAACTTCTAAAATTTCAGGTCGCTGCTATATAAGCAAACAAGTTGTTGCAATTGAAAAGTGCAAAAGTCACAATTATATCTATGCCGTCCATCTAGGGTTCAGTTTAGGACTAGAATCCATTTCGCACAAAAATTTTAGCAAATGTTTCCGAAAATAGATATATTTGTATTACATTTATTATTTATTACATTTTTAATATTTGTACATAGTAGAAATAAAAATTTACTGCAATGTCCAAATATTTTGGGACATTCAAATGGATGTTATAGCACTAGGGTTTAAATACGGAAAATCTTTATATTGGGTCTGTTCCACGAGCTACTCGTAGTAACTTTGAGTAACACAAGTGCGTTCCACCTGCAAATTTTCGAGTAACATCCCTGTCGAAATTTGAAAATGCTACACAGACTTTTGTGATGTGTGAATCAGCTGTTTTGGTTTGAATTTAAATTTTTGTTTTGTTTATTTGCGCGGCATTGGTGTTTTTACCAGACTTTACACAAAGCTGTTCCATGAAAATTTGTGTAAAGAGCACAATATGGCACTTTATCTGTGTTATGCTCTCAGTTTGTGCTTTACTTGTGTTTTACTTGTGTTTTACTACAAGTAGTTCGTGGAACACAACTAATATAAAAAAAAAAAAATCGTATAAACACTTCAATTCAATTAAAATTTAGCCGAAAATCTGTTTGCAAATATGTGTGTACATATAAATATTACATAAATACATATGTCACATAAAAATTTTTAAAAAAATATTTATCAATAGTAATATAAATTATTATTCATATAAAGAAATGTTAAATAAACAACATTTTCCAAATTATTTTTATATTAATTGTAAATATAATCTTCTTCGTTTTTATTTTAAATTTTATAAATATTTTAATATTAGAAATTATATATTAACGTTTCCGATTGGTAAATCTGGAGTAATTTTTTGAATCGAAATGCACTTTTAATTTACTTTTAGCGCAATTTTAATTTTCGATTAATAAATTTTGAGCAAAATATATAATACTCGATATTAATTTATAACACTTTAGATATTTTGCTAGTGTAGCAAACTTACATAAATTAACAGCTGTTTTGTATAATTATAAGAGTGACTTATTTAAGTACACATATGTATTAAAAAAAAATATAAATGTCTACAAACACTACTACAAAGATGTTAGACTCGAGTAAATTGATGGTAAATTGAGGGAAATAGTAAATTATGTCGGTATGGCAGCGAATGTTGGTATTTACCAGAGTTTCGAATAGGGTAAATTAGATAAAAATTAAATAAATTTGGTGTTATCTTAGTGAAAATTTTATAAGATGTTTAATAAATAAATTTAAAAACTTTTATCCAAAAATAATAAATAAGTGCAATAAATAAATAAATAAATATTTACATAATTGCAGTGCAAAAAATCTCTACGAAATTTCAATTTACTTTATCTCAATTTACTCGAACTCGCACACCGGCATAAGCATCAAAATTTGACAGATCGAGAGTAAATCTAGATTAAATCCAGATTTACCAATTGAAAACGCCATATGTTTAAAAAACACAAATTTTCTTAATTTTTTTAAGAAAATTCAAATGACACAGAAATAATAAGTTTGTCAACTTCCTAAACTCTCTCACTGTGTTATGTTTCCATTTCTCAACCGAGGTAAATTTAAGAAACTATATAATCAGCACAAATTTGTTAGTAGATAAATCACTGCTTTTCGTAGAGATGTATTCTAATGAATTACAGAAACACGTTTATATTTATCTTTAGTAGAAAATTATAATTGATTTAAAAATGGATATTTACTTCGTATTGTATTTAAAAAATTATGTATTTACTGTACATTTAAAAAAAAATAATTATATGCCCTGTAAAAGCCGCCTTGCTTTACATTACTCGTATTCAAAATTGTTTAGTGCCCCTAAACAAAAAATATTATAATTATATATTATTTATATATATATATTTTTTTTTTATCTTTAAAAAAAATTTCATGATCACTATGAAAATAACAGAACTTTCTTTCTTTCCATATGTGCTCGATACTATCGAACCTTTCAAAATGCATATTTCCATTGTGTGTATTTCTGATTTATTTTCCAATCTTGTTTTTGATGTAAATAGCAAGATAATGTTTATTAGCTTTCTTAAGGCTCAGTTAGACGGTAGGTAACGTAAGAAATTAGTTCAAAGCGAAATGCACAACCAATCAAATACGCAGGTTTGGTTGGTTGTGCATTTGGATTTGAATTTTTTTTTTACGTTACCTACCGTCTAACTGTCCTTTACTACTCGATGTGTTCTACAGTTGGGTCTGGCAATACCAACACTTGTGTAATACAGCACAAGATCGAGTTGTGACGGCGATTGTTAAGTTACACCAACACAAATAAACGCTGCGGCGAATTAGTGTAGTGGGCTTCGTAGTGCTGTCGTTTGTTCTTAATTCTTATTTGGTGTTTGGCCGTTGATGTAGTGTACGGTGTACAGTTCATAGTGTTTCCTAGTTGGTGGATGTTTAACGGGATCTTAATTCTGGGAAACGGTCAAAATGCCAATTATTACGGAGCCTTGTAATATTTGCCTGGCAGATTTTGCAAATGATCAGGAAATTGACGCTACATGTTGTGGCCATATATTCCACTCGAGGTGCTTACAGGACTCGCTTGAACGGTAATTATTAATTGAAATATATAAAAACAATGATATTATTTTTACTATATCGGTTGATTGTGAAATCATTTAGGAATTATTATTAAGTAAATAAAAAACATTATTCAATATTGTTGAACTCCTCTCGATCAGTGAATTCAAGATAAAAATCGCTTTAGTGTCCTATGGCGAAATATAACGAAGGGATTTGATATGTGGCTTGTAATATACATATAATTGTTATAACGGTATCATTAATATATATATATATATGTTATTAAAAGGAATTTATAAGTATATTTTTCTTATTTCACATTTTTAAATATAATAAGAAAAAGGGTATTGTAAAGTACAGAGATAGGACAAATTATTAAAGAAAATATGAAAAAATATGGCGTCAAAATTCTTTTAAAAAAAATCGTATACAAATTCTGAGAATAACTGAGAATAAAATATAGTAAAGTATAGAGAAGACAAATTAATAAAGCAAATATCAAAAATTATGGCGTCAAAATTCTTTTCAAAAAATCGTACGCAAATTCTGAGAACTGAGAATAAAAACTGTTCACAGTTAACAGTTCTCCTATGCTTGATCCTTCATGATTAATTGCACGTGTAGCGTACAGAAAAGACAAAATAGGTGAAAGACAAGCAATAGAGTGGGCCTACTAGAGAGCATAAAAATTCTTTAAAAAAAGTGTACAAATCTACTAAGAATCGTAGCGTAGCATTACTATAGTTTCTTCTGTTTTTGTTTTTTTTTTTTACTTTCTTTATAAGAAGTATTTACTCTCAAAAATCAAATTCAAAAGAGACAATAATTTTTTTTTTTGTTCGAATATTCTAAGAATTATTAATATTCTTAGTAGAAGATACAATAAGTATAATTATAGACTATACCCTTTTTCTTATTATATTGAAAAATGTCAAATAAGAAAACCCATTGTCTATAACCCATTGTTTCCGTATGGAGGGTTATGCCGAGTGCACTTTTGATCTTTCTGTCACTTCTGAATTTTGTATTATTTATTTAAAAGACTTTATATATACTATATTATTTTATGTTTGTATTTAAAATGTGTACACACTCTCATTAGACCCTGCGCTTGGGATAAACAAAAAGTAATGAGTATTTTTTTGATGATTTGATTTCCTTCTATTCTTAATTTTAAAAAGTGTTTAAAATTTAATTGTTTAAAAATTTTATAAAAATTATGCAAATAATTTCGTTTTTTTAATATTTAAACAAGCTTTTTTTTGTTTGCTTTGTAGGTCCAATTATTGTCCTATATGTAAATCTCATGTTTTTTATAAGCATAGGATGCATTTACCTTTATCAAATGTATGTGCACATCAACAAGGATTAGAGCAACTGAAGAATGAGATAATACAATATTTTTTGCTTGAAGTTGACCTATATAAAATTTTGAAACTAAAGAGAGACCTGAATCAGTTTAATGAAAACACGGATTTCCAAAATGGAGTCAATAACTTGATCTTAGATATTTGTTACCAACACAGCAAAGAAGTCTTTGAAAGTAAGCAAATAATTAATGATCTTCGTGTGAATACTATGAAAGTTTTGACGGAAAAGAATGTATTGGAGTCTCAATATAAGAAGAAAATCGAACAGCTCGAAGCACAATTGAATATTGTTTGTGCACAAAAGATCAAGTTAGACGCTGATTTATCGAAGGCTCATGCAAGTATTGCAAACCGCAATATAGTGACACAGTTACTTAGAGGTTGGATCGCGTCGACTGACCAGTTTGTTATATATAATGAAATGATGTCCACACTAGAAAGAAAGTTCGAGGAATGCAAACAACTGCAAGTACAAGTTGGTGAACACTTAACAAAGATTGCAGACAGTGAAAGAGTAATAACAAACTTAAATACGGAACTCGATTTTATCAAGTCTGAAAAGCTGTTTAATGTAAACATGTTTAAAAGTTTATCGCATAACTTAAGAATCGAAAATATGAAATTGAAAAGTTCTTTAAAATGTTTCGAGTCCGTATGCAATCAAGTAAGTGCATCAATACCAGATAGTACATTAATACCTGATATGGCACCGATACCAGATAGTGCGTCAAAATCAGTTAATACGTTAATACCAGATAGTACATCGATACCAAATATTGCATCGGCACCAGATACTGCGTTGATACCAGACATTACATCGTTACCAGATAGTTCGTTGAAACCAGATAGTACATCGATATCTGATATTGCACCAATACCAGATAGTGCGTCGATACCAGATAGTGCGTTAATACCAGATAGTTCGTTGATTCTAGATAGGTCGTTGACACCAGATAGTACAAAAGTTTCAGATAGTGCATTGATACTAGATAGTGTGATAATCTCTGGTCAAAACAAAGTAGCATCTTTCAAAATGAATATCCTTCAAGAAGTAAACTACTCTGGAAAAGTGTCATTTTTGAAGTCTATTACAAAAACAAGTAAAGGCAGTTCTTGCAGTCGTAAGGATGGAGTTATTATAAAATTATTTGTAAATAAATATGATAAGGTTGACTTAAAAATACTAATACTAAATATGGCAGTAGAAATGAATGCAAATATCACGACTTTTGACATAAAAACGATTAAAATTTTGAATTCGGACAAAAGAAGATTTAGAGAAAAATTAACACTTCTTGTGAGATTTTGGCTACCTAGTCAACAGGATGAATTTATGCGTTCAAGAAATTTATTGAAATTGTCCGCAAAATATCGTCATGTTATCATAAGTAATTATTATACGACAGCTACAGATTATATGGAAAATACAGAAAATTACAATGAACTTAAACCAGATTCCGAAAACATGCTGTCAAAATATCCAGAATTCGATTTCGACCTTTACGAATATGCCGAAAAGTGTCTGAAAAAGATCCACTACTACAGTGTTTTGCGTAACAAAAATCGTATTTTTGCGCAAAAACGTAGTAGTTTCGAGTCTTTTGAAATCGTCAGTAAGGCTCAAGTGGACGGATTGGTAAAAGAATATAGAGAGAGAGTTTTCGCACGTAGACAACCAGAATACACTCCAAGACCACTTAGAGGTTTTTCTAGGCCATCTGCATAAGATGAAATTTGTCGAGTGAGAATTAAATTGAAAAATTTAAATTATTTTTTACAACAATTATTTTTTACAACAATTATTTTTTACAAATTTAATATAATTTTTACAAATTTGTTTTATTTTTTTTAAATTATTTTTTTCTATTTTGAGTGGTTGATTAATATTATTTCTAAAAACATTTTTTATTACTTTTTTTACAATTTCTAATGAAATTGATTAATTAAACTTTTTTTAATTCGATTTATTTGACAACTAAATAAATATTTATATATACAATTAATAATCAATTATTAATTAAGCCGCGTAATATGCTTTAAATAATTTTTTTAATTTTAAGAGTTATGTTTTTTTTTAAGAAAATACCTAAAAATGTTAAATGATTTTTTAAGCCATTGGTCAGATCGATTTCGATAAAGAAAAACTGACACAAGACTAGAAGTCCTTAAATAATTTTAAGAAAATTTGTTTCATTTCTCATAATAATTTATTTAATTTATTTTATATTTATATATTTACCTTATTTTTTGAGTAACAAAAATTTTATTAAGAAGTTTGTCTTCGATAATATCTTCGAAGTTTATATGAAAATAGAAATGATTTGCTTAATGAAAATTGGAATATTACAAAATTTAAAATAATTTTCTTATACTTTAAAATCACTAATTAATCATTTATATTAAGAATAAATAAAATATGAAAAAATATTCTGTTTGTTGCTAATTTTATAGAATATATAATATTTGAATGGATTTGCATACCTTAGAACCCTGAAAAATAATATGTTGATTGCTTTTTAATAGAAACCCTTTTCTGAACTTATTGCCAACTGTAAATAGTCAGTAATTGATTCTTCCAAATTACTAATAACACAAAATTGGACGGTTTTAATGGGCTCCGGTCTCTATTATTCCAGTTGATGACATCGGCGAAGGTGGAGCAGCGTGCAACTGAACGCGAATGTGGGTTCTAACTTCAAAAACTATTGGTGTTATAAAGTTAAGAAATTTATTTTAAATTTAGAATAAACATCCATTATATGGACGCATATATGGAGCATTTACCTTTACAATTTGCAAAGGAAATTATAGTTATTTGTCTAACAGTCAGAACTTTTAACCACTCTCTCAACATACATATATGAATGCCTCACCAAATTTATTTCGGATGCATAACAGTAGTCTAGCAACAGAATAATGCATGGGTCGGAAAAATATGTCGTATATCATATATTGTACTTTAATCTGCATCTCAAATTGGGTGAATTCAAAATATCATCAATGTATGCCGTTAAAATATTATATAAAATACTTGCGCCCTTAAACCAACTGATTGGACCTTATCAGTGTGGCTTCAGACCTGGCAAATCCACTCTAGACCAGATATTCACAGTGCGTCAAATCCTGGAGAAGACTCAAGAAAAACAAATCGACACACACCACCTATTTGTCGACTTCAAAGCTGCTTTTGACACTACGACTAGAAGCACACTCTATGCCGCTATGTCTGAATTTGGTATCCCAGCAAAACTTATACGGCTATGTAAAATGACGTTGAGCAACACCACCAGCTCCGTTAGAATTGGAAAGAACCTCTCCGAGCCGTTTGATACCAAACGAGGTTTCAGACAGGGTGACTCCTTGTCGTGTGACTACTTTAACCTAATGTTGGAAACGATAATTCGAGCAGCAGATTTAAACCGTACTGGCACAATATTCTACAAAAGTGTAATGCTGCTTGCGTATGCCGACGATATTGATATCATTGGTCTGAACACCCGCGTCGTCAGTGCGGCATTTTCCAACTTAGAAAAACAAGCAAAGCAAATGGGTCTTGTGGTAAATGAGGACAAAACAAAGTACTTTCTGTCAACAAACAAATCTCCTGAGCGTCTTGGGACCTACGTCACTGTTGACAATTATAAGTTCGAAGTTGTGAAAGACTTTGTTTATTTAGGAACCAGCTTAAACACCAAAAATGACGTCAGCCTAGAGATTCAACGAAGAATTACTCTTGCCAACAAATGTTACTTCGGGCTAAGTAAGCAATTGAGAAATAAAGCCCTCTCTCGACAAACAAAAATCACGCTCTACAAATCCCTTATCATGCCTGTCCTGCTGTATGGTGCAGAAGCTTGGACAATTACCAACAGTGATGAGAAGGCGTTAGGAGCATTCGAGAGAAAAATCCTTCGGAAGATCTATGGTCCCTTATGCGTTGGCGACGAGTATCGAATTAGATGGAACGATGAGCTGTATGAGCTATACCGCGACATTGATATAAAAAATTCATAAAAATTCATAAATTCATAAAAATTCAGCGGCTATGCTGGCTTGGTCATGTCGTGCGAATGGAAGAAAGTGCTCCGGCTAGAAAGGTATTTGATTCGGTACCCGCAGGTGGAAAACGCGGTAGAGGACGTCTGCATCTTCGGTGGAAGGACCAGGTGACCAACGATTTGGGGGCGCTCGGTACTACCAACTGGCGTCAGAAAGCAACTAATCGGGCTGACTGGCGGAGGCTACTTAACGCGGCCAAGGACGACACACGTCTGTAATGGCCAACTAAGTAAGTAAGTAAGCTTGCGCCCTTAATAAGTTCTCAACATGACAATTAAGAGGTTGTCTATCTGGTATATAGACTACAATGTCATGTAAAGTTATGTGGTTTGATTATCATGAAATCATATAACTTTTTAATAAATTTTAACATTTTTCAAGAAAACATTAAGTTTGAATAAATTAAATCTCCCGTTTATTTATAAAAACAGATGATAAAAGTTCACTTCGACCGCGAAAGTATAAAAACAAATCCATCTATCTATTGGTTGTTTTTGTGAATTCTGTTAACTTAATATCATCTGTCTGAATTAATTTGACAATAAGTAATTGTTTAAATTAGGCATTTGAAGACGCATACAAAGGCGTATACGGACTATGTCCAGTGACAACTCATTTCCTTTTGGGAAGGTTTGCTGGAGTTCGCTTTGAGCGTGTTCGAAGTTGACATCAAGACTACTACAGCAGGTTTGGATGATCATTTATTTGGGTGGTATATATTCATTTGCAGTTTAAGACACTCTTTCTTTGATAATAAGGACTCAGAATGCGATTTGACAATTTGCTATCCGTTTGAATTCTTAAATATTTTGTCGCTGTAGCCAGAAGTTATTTGGTAATATTGATAGAGACAGGCGGGAAACTGAATTATCTGGTAGTAAATTTGACTTTGACGGATTTAAATTCATTTAGTTAGGTGCCCCAGTCTTTAATCCATTCCCCATAATCCATAAAAGTACTTTTTAGTTTAAACATAGCATCGACTTCTTGTTAGGCAATGAACAAAATTTTTGGGAATTTTAGCTTAATTCGGGCCCCAATATATTTATACCAAGTAAATATTTTGTCGAGATGAATGCGAAGATAACGCAAAGTTTTCATTTTCGGGATGGTCGCACCTTAAAGGCTTAGAGAAAATATTATTCTTTCGAATAGCTTTGAATGAGTTGGAAGTAGTCTTTTGGATTTATACGATGCAGCCAATGTAGAATCTTGACTAGCTTTTAGAGTCATATTTATTTGTGACACCTTCCAATTGTAAAGAAAGCGGCCATACCGAAGAATTGCGTTGAATAAATATGTCAAAATATTCACAGCTGCCTGGGAAAACATACTCTATGCAAGACATAGTGTGCATCCAGACTTTAAGACATATACTCAAAATATATTTAAAGACATTCTTCTTGTTTGTTTGAAAATATCGCTAAGGATAGCATAAGAATAGGATAGCAATAGCACATACAGTTTTTTGAATGCGGACTCTATGCAAGACATAGTGTGCATCCAGACTTTAAGACATGTACTCAAAATATATTTGAAGACATTTTTCTTATTTGTTTGAAAATATCGCTAAGGATAGCATAAGAATAGGATAGCAATAGCACATATAGTTATTTGAATGCGGACTCTATGCAAGACATTGTGTGCATCCAGACTTCAAGACATGTACTCAAAATATAAGTTATTTAAAAAAATTTTTCTTGATTGTTTGAAAATATCGTCAAGAATCACTATATATTTGTATTGATCGGTTTTCTGGTATATTGTCATATATTGATCATTTTTTTTAATTACTGTGTTAGAAATTATCACACATATTTATAGCATGTTAGAAAAATTATAATTCTAGTCTGCAGCTCAATAGCAATTTTTATTGTAGTAAAGAGCGAAGTACAATGGTTACGTACTTGTGTCTTATGCGGTGATGCGTTAAATGCGTTGCGTCATTTTTAAATTTGAGAAATGCAAGGTACAATTATTGCGTACTTGCGTATTTGCGTTTTTGTGTTTTGTGAAGAAATGGAAAGAAATTTTGAATTTATTTTGGATTCAATTGTAATTGTGGATACTGTTTAATTAATTTTCATTTTATCATCAAATACATTATTTAAAAAAATTATTTTAGTATAAGCAAAATAATATTTAATGAACATGAACCTTTTGTGAACTTAAATAAAGAATTATTGATTCGTTTTTATATTATTAATTTTGTTTTATACAGTAATTTTCAAAAGACAAATACTAGAGGGTCTTCACATAGCAAAGAATATTAATCCAACCATGAATAGGAAAGAGGATAGCGATAACATCAGCGCTACTAACCCAATATTACAATAGACCATAACATATAGTGTTTTCGTATTTTTTAATTTTTAATTATTTGGGACTTTTTAACAGATTACTGTTTCAGTAGAAGTAGTCTCTAACATATATATAAGTTAATGATTATTTAAATAAAACAATTTTATGTAGGTGTCGTATCTTCAGTAGCCTAAAAGAAGCTTCAATTGTCGAATTGAGACCTACGAAAGACAAACAGTACTTTTCCAGACAAGCAATTTGATGATCCGTTTGTTAGCAATCAGGCGATCGAATAATATCGCATGATTCTGCTATTAATGAAACCAAGCGCAGGGGCGTATTTGATTGGCAGCGGTTGTTAACTATATGTGTTTATTAATTAGTTGTAATAATATTTCGTTCTGAAAAAGAAGTTAATTAAATTAATGAACTCGTAACTCTTCCTATTTTAAATTTATTTGCAGTCAATAATTATTGCATTTGTTTATATTACTTTTTAACTGGTAACGGATTAAACGCATTAAACACACTAAATGCATCAAACGTGTAGAAAAATTGAAAGTAAGAGAAATTTTGTTTGTGTTCTCTTCGTAACATAACACAATCACTGTAACTGCTTATTTTGCTATGAATGTATTTGACTTTAAACGGAGAAACGCAAGAACGCATAAGACGTAAATACGCAACCATTGTTTTTCGCCTTTAAGTTAGACACTGAAACTTTATCAATATTTGTTTTTGTGGTGTATTTCATTTAAGGCTTTGAACAATTTATATGTCCCTCCTATGTGGCATACGAAAGAAGCGTTCAGAAACTTAATCAGTCCAATATTTAACGAACTGTATATTTCGGCTTTCTCATAAAGAATTTGCAATTATTTAAATACGTAACCTTTGTTAACAGTAAGTCTGCCTAGTTAGGTAGGTACGTTGCAGTAGCGGCTTTATCTTCAAAAAGCCCACTTGAGCTCAAATAATGATCTATTGTAGTAGCACAGGAAAAGCATTGGTAACTGCATGAATTGAAATCAGTATACAACCAATGTCGAAAAATGTAACGACTCTTCTATTAGGTAAAGGAAAATCAAATTTACAGTTCTATAAATTTTGCTAGATCCCTAATATTATACGATTAGGGATTTTTGATCTTCTCTTAACTAAAAAAGGGCACTGACATATGAGTTGGACTACGGTCTCCTCCTCATCCTTAGTGCCACAGCCTCGACAAAAATCATTATAGGAGAGACCCAGTCTCATAGCATGCCTTCCTATTTCGCAGTGGTCTGTCAGCACTAATACCGTGATGCTGAGCAGGTTCCGTCTTAGTTGAAGTAATTGATTAGTGCATTTCTTAAATTAGAACAAGTCAACCTAGTTATCGGAAAATGGGTTTCATCAGTCCAGTATTGCTTGGCTATTCTCAGGTATATTTTTTTATTTGTCAGTTTAATTGTAGCAAGTGAAACGCCAATATCTGAACAGTGAATGTCAGGGAGAAGAGCACCTGTCTTGGCAAGCTCATCCGCAAATGAGTTTAACCTTAACAAGCCTAGCTAGTTCATTGAGAGAAGCATGGCAGTTTTGTGTCTGTCTAGTGACCGTTTTTGCAAATTTAATTTACGTTTAATTTTAAATTTTTCCACATAACAATCAAATCGTCCCTCTATGTTGTGTACGCCTCACTATGAGAAATAATGCAATGCACCGCCCCTAGCAGTAACTAATAAGAGCACATTTTTATAACATGCGACAGAAAAAATTTAATTTCTACACTTTGCTCCGTTAAAATGAATGATAACCACATTCAGTTTGGATGTAAAAACGCATAGTAATTTTGGGGTCAGAGCTCTTTGGATTTTGTGAAACGGTGGATGCCATTGCGGTTGCTCTGTGTGTGTGTGTGTCAACTCTGTTGGGTACAAGCGAGATGTACACATATTTATAGCATGCAACAAGCAAATGCATTTGATAATATTAAAATGAAGAAGCAAGAATATACCATGCAAGAAAAAATATTTACGTCTTAATATATAATATTGCATGCTATAACATATATTATTTAAGTATCACAAACATTACTGGTTTTAAAAAGCATGCAATATTTGCTCTTCTGCTTTTGCGGAGCGCTTTCTACGTATAAGCAAAAGAGCTCCAAAGCGCTCTAATGCGCTCCAATGCGCTGAACGCGAGAAACAGCCTCAGAGAAGAGCACAATTCAATAGGGGCAATGGGTAGAAAGCACAAACAACAACACAAAATAAACTTGAAGCAACATTTTATTATATTTAAATTCAGTGCTGTTGTCGTAGTCGAGATTGTTGTTGGTGTTTGATTATCTGGATTCTATCTTCAGTAGAAAATTGTGTTTTTCGAACAACAATTTCTTGCAATTAAATTTAATCTAAAGTTTAAGTTTCATGTAAAAATAGCAAAATAGCCAAATAGCCAAATAACTCGAAAATAATAATAATAATAATACGTCAAGTTAATACGTGAGTGAATAACTTAAGTGAATAAGAAAGCATAGGAAAAGTACATGACTCTCGACGCTATCGATTCCAAGTGTTAAGTCAATTAAAAATGTTTTTTCCTCTGCGCTAGCAACTGTCGATAAGCTGCCTTAATGCAGATTAACACTCAGTGAATTTCGTATTACTTATGCGGCTAAGAAAAGCGTTCATTGCATTTCAGTCTCAGCTTTCGCAGTGTACGCACACTACCAGACCAAAGAAATTTCATTCCAAAAAGTTTGTGTAGGCATTTCTTTTGTTCGACACAAAGTAGCAGTGTCCACAGAGTATTAGGGTCAGGTGCGGTACGCTTTTTGCAGTGCAGTGACAATTTCTTCAGTTATTCAATCGGAACGGAACGCTTACAATGGTTGCTCCAACGAAAAGGTAAACATATGTGATTTTGTGTACGTAATGCCATTTAACATTTATGTTAATCATTTAAATTTGCTAAAATTCACACAGTGGAGAGGTTCAAAGTTCATTCAGAACGATAAATAAAATTCGTACATATATGTGTGGTCAGACAGACGTTTGATTCTCAGTTGAAAATTGAAGCCACGAATAAAGTCCAAAATATATTAAATTTCTAATTTTGATTTTCTATTTGATTAAAGAGGTTTTAAAAACAAAAATTAGTATACCGAATTTTTTATATACATCGAAAATATATGTTTATTAAATTAAACATATTTTTAAATTACTAAATATATATATTTTAAATATTATATTAAAAAAAAAAATAATAAATTAAAATGGTTTGATATAATAGTCATTTAGTCCAGTACATTACCATTAGTACGACTTAAGTACCAAAATTACTACTTTTTACCAATTTGGACTTTGAAAATCCATTTTGTAATGGTTCGAATAGAAATGAAAAGAAAACCACACAAATTTTAGTTATTTTATTAAAGTTTAAATTAAACATATTATTAAATTACTAAATATATATATTTTAAATATTATATTAAAAAAAAAATAATAAATTAAAATGGTTTGATATAATAGTCATTTAGTCCAGTACATTACCATTAGTACGACTTAAGTACCAAAATTATTACTTTTTACCAATTTGGACTTTGAAAATCCATTTTGTAATGGTTCGAATAGAAATGAAAAGAAAACCACACAAATTTTAGTTATTTTATTAAAGTTTAAATTAAACATATTATTAAATTACTAAATATATATATTTTAAATATTATATTAAAAAAAAAAATAATAAATTAAAATGGTTTGATATAATAGTCATTTAGTTCAGTACAGAAATAACGATTACCCTTAGTACGATTTAAGTACCAAAATTATTACTTTTTACCAATTTGGACTTTGAAAATCCATTTTGTAATGGTTCGAATAGAAATGAAAAGACAACCACACGAATTTTAGTTATTTTATTAAAGTTTAAATTAAACATATTATTAAATTACTAAATATATATATTTTAAATATTATATTAAAAAAAATTATAATAAATTAAAATGGTTTGATATTGTAGTCATTTAGTTCAGTACAGAAATAACGGTTACCCTTAGTACGAATTAAGTACCAAAATTACTACTTTTTATCAATTTGGACTTTGAAAATCCATTTTGTAATGGTTCGAATAGAAATGAAAAGACAACAACACAAATTTTAGTTAATTTATTAAAGTTTCACTGACCATATAACGCTGTTTCGAGTGCTGCCAAGTACTTATCATCAGTGATTTTAGGAAATATACGAATTTTTATTTAATTAGCTTATAGTCCGCATATAATTTGTTTGGACTGCAAATGCCAGGCTTAGAAATCGTGCCTATCAAATTAGAAGTAATGACTAAACATGCTTTTCCACGAATTAATTTTTATATCCTTTATAATATTCTAATTAAATTGTTTATAAAGTTTCCCGACTTATTTTTAGCACAGCCAAGTTGATATTAGAGTTCAACTAAATTACAATTTGAACTAATTAAACTGAAATTTTTTGAAATTAAGTTTTAATGAAAAATACGTTTTAATAAAAAACAATAAAATTTTTCAATTTCATTTAAAATTTTTAATAATGCCCTCTTTAACGCCATGAGTTGGTCGACAGTAGATAAACAAGTTGGACTTTGCTCAAATGTCAACCCACAGAATCTTCATCTACATATTTTCGAGAAAGGGGGTATTCTTAACTATATTAACACACTAGTATTTTTTATTATAGACCTTAGTCTACAAAATTCACTATGCTCCACAACAAGCAATCAAATTGGAACAATTTGGACTCTGCCCAAAAGCGAACCTACAGAATCTTTATCTAGGTATTTACGTGGAAGGGCGTATTATTAACTATATCAAAACACAATTCAATATTCTCCATACCGAGAAATCAAACTGGATTGTGTCTTTTGGCTATAGCCACTATGTAGTTTACATGAAGTTTGGAACATTGTCTCTTAAAAATTGTTAGTTTTGTCTTATTGAAGCATCCATTTTTCTCATATGAAAGTGTTTATATATTATATAAAGTTTTAATATACAAACGTTAACCCGGTTCATATTAACTGGGTAAACTACTTTCGAAACATTGTATAGAATGCTCGTAAATATTTCTTTATATTTGGTAATGAGTTTTTCAAAAACGGCATTTAAATCGAAAACCAATAGAGAAAAATAGTTTTTATTAAGTTATTTCAAGTGCATGTCAATTATATTACTTACTCCGTATACTTTTTGAGCAGATGATGGAATTCATATATAAATACAAATGATTGCATTCAATTTTTAATTTGGCCATTAAAAAAAATAAATTAAACATTAAAAAATATATAATTTTTTATAATCTATGTGATTTGCAACTAAACCATAGAAGGTTTGAAATTTTCTTTAGTGGAACTGTTTTCGTCTTTTGAGAACATGTTCAACAGAAGAAGTCAACTGTTTTTACTGTTCTTCTATGTCCGGAGTATTGGTACATATAGATAGAAATTCTTTTCGATTTAGAGTTTTGTGCTCATAGAGCCATTAAATTGGGTAAATCACGTTTAACACATTTTATAGAATGTTGCTCGTAAAGCTTTCTTTCGGGAATACATTTTTCATTATTCTTTTATCTATATTTTTTCAAATTAACCAAACTTTCTGTGTATTAAAACTAACTAAGTTTCATATCGGATAAATAAATTAGTCTTAAAAATTTAAATATTGTCAAGTTATTAAATACAATATAAATATTTTTAAATTTATACAGTCCACTGTATAATATATATCACTCACCTAGCGGTAAAATGACTATCAAACAACCCTAGTAAAATAAGTTCCTTACTTCCATAGTTTTATACTGAAGATTTTTAATGGATAGAGTTTTCCCTGCAGTAAAAGGACTATCACATGCCTAATGATTGTTTTGTTTTTCGAATCAAAAAATTTATTCCACTATATATTCCACTATATTTATTCTATATTTAATCCACTGATATTTTATTAATTATATACATTATTAATATATATTAATAATATATATTAATAATATATAGTAATAATATATATTAATAATATATATTAATAATATATATTAATAATATTTATTAATAATATGTATTAATAATATATGTTAATAGTTAATGAAAGTAGACGTAGGACTATATAGATTGCTTATATAATTTAATAAGGATTATAAAAACATCAATAATAATTAAAAAACATTAATTGTGAATAAAAGTGTTAAGTAGCTAAAAATTTAGTTTGGAAATTTATGTCTTTCAATTCTATACTATAGAATTCTCAATCGCTAGTTTTACTATTTTCAAAAAGACTATTGGTTTCGAAAATATATAGTAGTTCATGTAGTCTTCAATAATAAGTAGTTGTATAATTCGAATTTAGATGACTAATTCAGCTTCTGAAAGAATTAGTCGCGTAAGCAAATTAAGTAAAATTTAATTAATTAATGTAATAATAATACCAATAATATATTGAGCTTTAATCATCTTAAAGTATTAACCGTTTTTAAAATCGGTATATAACAGTTTTCCTTTATAAATATATATAGATTTATTTTTATATATTTTTATATATAGATTTATTTTTATATACTTTAAAGATATGATAATAATCGCATATTAAGCTTGCAAATAATTAACCTAGACAACGCATTTAGGTACGAAATACATTATTTAATTAATTTTTTTTTTTTTTAAAGAGTTAATACGCCTTAGAATATTTAAAAGAAACAGAAATAGAATGATTTGAATCGACATCGGGCATATGTAAATTTATTATTCATTTAATTATGATTAATTTATAAATAAATTCATTTTGTTTTTAAATAAATTTTAGTTTTTTAATTATTTTAACTATATTATCATTTTGTTTTACATTTCTTTGCAGTGACAATTCCATTGAGGAAGTAAATAATATTTACGATGATAAGAGTATATATCCGGATTTTAAAAGTGGTCCACTTGAGGAATATAGAAAAAAATCATCGTTTTGTTATAAGCGCATGAATGTCCTTCTCGAAGGTGAAGATCACATTAGACTTAAGGTAAGTTTTTATATAAAAATCACAAATACAAGTGTTCAGTATAAGTGCATTCCAACGACAGAATCCAAATAGAGCGCCTATGAATCACATTCTCTCACAATTTTTAATATAAAAAATTTTTCCTTTTATTATTATTATTATTATGTTGAGGGAAGTTGAGTCAGTGCACCTGAGCACTTTTACTCTATATTAACTGCGAGGTTTCTTCAAAACCCCTCTTTGCGCCTTGACTGGATTATTATTTATCACATCATCAGACTAAGTAATAATTGACCTCAGATCTGCATACCTCCCCGAGGAGCCTGTAACCATTCTGAGATTTGATAATGCGGTGTTAGTAAGTCTGTCAGATTTCGCAAATAATTTCAAGGCTCTATCCTTTATGTATTTTTTGATGGGATCATTCTTGAGGTCCCTAAGGATGTCATTCGTCCTTTTAATGATTCAGTATTTTACTTAGTTAGATACGTATTTTTCTGTTTCGGGTGCTACGCTTATAACGTAAACACATTTTTTTTTTTTTTTTTTTGTTTGAGAATTTCACGAGACTTTCGGTAACGATTTCTGTCAGTTTTTCGGGGTTCTCAAAAAACGATTTTTAAAGAGTTTCAACAATCTCCTCGCTAAAGCTCTACATCTGTACAAAATTGGAGTATTTGGTAATTCTTACTCTTCTTTAAAAATGTATATTAGTTAAATGAAGAAAAACTGTTCCAGAATTATCTTTAAAAATTTGGGAACTTCTGTGTTTTGACAAATTTCTTTCAACAAAATTTTGCTTGAGTGCAAACCTTTAACATATTTCAAACGAAGCTTAAAGTATATTAAGTTTCATCAGTAGAAATAATGGTACACCTTGACTTTTAACATATTTCTTATTGACTCTGAAAATAGGTTTTTCTAGTCCTAATATAGCATAGATTGTAGTATTGATATATCTGTTTGTAGATAATGAAAGCCATATGTAAAAATTGAATTTGTTGAAAGTAGTTTTGAAAGTAAGAAAATTGTGAGTATTTAACAAGAAATGAATATGAGCAATTGTCCAAAAACAGCGGTCCATTTTACAAGAAAAGAATATGGGGTTATATATTATTTTGTACTTTACAAAAACGACAGTTGTCAGTGGTCCATTACCACTATTTTTGAAATATAGTGGTAAATAGGAGTTGAACAGCTAACAAACTCATAAATAATCTGAGGTTTGATGCGTCCTATTAATTTTTAAAAGATTTTATGAAATTAACAATTAAGTTAGGTGCAAATCTATGGGTGTATACGGTAGGTAGATTGAAGTTGCGGCCCTGTGTCCAAAAAGGTTCACTTGAGCTGAAATAGGTTCATAAACTGAAAGACTCATATATTTGGTAAAGGAAAACCTACCTGACAGTTCTATAAATTTGGCTAAGTCCCTTATATTATAGTATGACAGCTCGGTCAGATCGATAAGAAAGGGGCTCGGGTGAATACTGTATTTTAATGCCTTTTTTAAGTTGTCTGTGTGGATATATCTGATATATCTATCTAATTAACTTATAATTAAGCTATGTATAAATTTATTTAGTTAAATATATTTTAAAGTCAAAAAACCCTCGTCATATCTGTTATAAATGCATATCTGATAAGCATATAAAAATTAACAAATTTTTTGTCCTCTTCTTCTCTCAAAACGAATCATAATATTAAAATTTTGTCTTATTCAATAGTAACTTCAATGTTTGACATGTAGACATTTTTTTCATGCCGACCAGATCTGCCTATTGATCCTTAATTTTCCATTATCATTATTATCATGCGTTCTTTACTAATTCTCATTCTCATCTTCTTGTGTCTTTCGGACCCATTTCCCATTACAAATTTTAATTTATTTTAATATAAATCTTAAGTTCTAAAGTTAGTCTTAACTTTTCGGCCATTAGAACTTCGAGAAGTACTCGAATTATTCATAACAAGCTTAACATAAGCTCTTCCGTGTATTTTCCATACAAAATGTGCAGTTGTATAAATAAAGGTTCAAACTGTCTTTCAACTATGTCTTATGCAAATAATAGTTTTTAGCATGGACTTCTTTTGAAAAATTTTAGGAGAACAATATGTTTTTTCATAAAAATTGTTTTTACCACAATAGTTTGTTCCTCTTTGATTCACTCCCCACGTGATAAGTAGAGGTCCAGCTAGACTTGTGAGCCCTTTATCAGAAAAAATCATTCAACGTAAATGACAGATGTTTCTTGAGTTTGTGAGGAATTTGACTTGACAAATCAGAATCTGAGTTTTGGAACTTGGAAACAAATATTTGAAATGATTTCTTTACTTAAAATAGTGAAATTCGAAAACTAGAGAGTTAATTGACTTAAAAGAAGATCTACATATTCAATGTTCATATTTTGCTGACCATAACTATTAAATTATTAGTTTTTAAATGCTATTATTTGCTTTATAAAATCGTTAATATTGACCTTTTGAAATGAAATGTAAATTTTGGGCTATAGTATAATTAATGATTTTTCTTCTATCAGTATTGTATATTGCCTAATATAAGAAGTCTGTTGCCCATACTTGCTGGATATGCTGAAATAGTGTTCTATGGATAATGGAATCAATTTGGTAAAAGCATTGTTCATCGCATGGATTAAAGTTCAGTAGCTTGTTTTTACACATAATTTGCAGATTAAAATATTTGCATTCTAATAATATTGATAATTTTAGGTGGATTAGATAAGCTTCTTTTAATTTTTTTTTATTAGGAATACGTGTCATTTTTTATAATATAAATTTTGTTCTTTCTTCACTTCCTAAATTCTAATACTCAATTTAAGTATAATTTTTTTAATGTGTGATATTTTAATCCATTCAATTATTTCTTAACTTACTTACTTACTTATTTGGACATAACAACTTCTTACCGAGTTTCAGCCTGACGCAACATGTCAGTGTCTTCTCTAGTCTCGTAGAAGACCAAATATTTTATGAAGAACTTTTCTCTCGAACACTCCCAGTGTTGCTTCATCATTCTGTGATAATGTCCATGCTTCTGCGTCATACAGAAGTACATGTAGGTTGAACGACCTATAGAGCGTAAGTTTTGTTTATCGAGAAACAGCTCTGTATCTCAATTATCTACTGAGCCCATAGCAGCGACTATTATTACTTCAATTACAACTGCATAAGAATCGACCAAACCTATATAATCAATGTATATTCTAATATTATCATAAATTTTTTAGATAAAAAAAATAATGAAGCTAATGTTTCAACAGAAAATGATGGTGATTGTCAAATGATATAAACATAATAGTCGCTTTAAAGTCATTGCACTGTGGGAAATAAAATATTGTTGCTTTGGTAAAAAGATATATAATATAAAATATCTATTAAATATTGATTTATTAATTTATTTGTGAGTAAATATTTAAAATAATTTTAGAGTTAACTAACAATAAGGAGCTGGTCTGCTAGGTCATTTGCCTTGCAAATATATAAATATATATTTGAATATGTATATAAAATAAATATAAGATATATACCTACATATATCAATTCAAATGACTCTCAGTTAGTCATTTGTTAGAGTCATATTTTCAGAAAAGGTGATCACTTCCATGGTACTATGGTCAAAATTATTTCAGATTCAGAAGAGTACTAATATCATACTACATCTCGATTTAATAATGAGTCTGGGAAATAAGAAATGACTGTGAAAAATTCTATATTACTTTGTAATAATTCTATTGACTGTGTAATTTTCTAGTAATATTTATATTTGTATATATAATTAAAATGTAATAAATGTTAAAAATGTATAGATGTAGGTACAATAGTTCTAATAAATTAAGACCATAGTGCATTATTGAACTTATATTCTATCTTATCTTATCCAATCAACTGATAATATAACTTATAGAACTAATTTTAGTGTTCCTGCATTTTTTATAATTGCGGATCTCATAAATTTATTAAAATCATGAATAATGTACATATATATATATATATATTATATATATATATATATATATATATATTATTGGATTTTATTAGCTCAACTTCATCAACACTTCACTTATCTTAAACCCAGCAATTACTGTTTTTATAAATTGTTTAAGCAAAATTATTTATAATAATAACTTTAAAGTATAGTGCTCAATTATACAAAGTGTACATATATCTGTTAAAAAGAGCATGAACTTTGTTCGGCTATTTGTCGTAACAACAATCTATTAAAACAATATATTCAATAATCTCTAAAGATTAATATCATACTAGCTGCGCACAGTTAAGCTAACTACTATAAAAGAAATTCCCAATACGATTTTTTATATATTGTATATATTTAAACGATCGATTAGTCTAATAAGTATGAAAATTATTTCTCATTATAAAAATTACAAATAAAAAATCAAATTATGATTACATATTATGATGACATATTATGATTACATATTTCCTTATTATTTCTTGCCATTCAACGTATGTAATAGACTAATTGTTTTAAATTATTTAATGATGTCAACTTATTAGATAGTTTTTCTTGACAGGATTCATCATCACTGATACGGCTAACACTACCTTAAGTTTTAAAATATTTTATCTATTATTGATGCCTAGTCACCTCATAGTCACCGTTCCTCTTTATTAGAATTATCGATTACTAGATTCACTATATTACATTATGAACGCATTAGTATTTCTATGAGATTTTATTTAAAATCTTTTTACGAAAAAAGTGGAATCTCGATTTTCTACTCTACTCTAACTCTTCTCCTCTAACTGGTGTTAGTAAGTTTCATTGGCGGAAATATTAAAGGATCCTCCTTTGATAATATAACCAACATGAAATAAAATTTGCGAAATCTCTATCAAAAATATATTTTCAAGTATTTACACCGTCCACTATCCCCCTCCCTTCTTTGCCACTGTTTTCACCACTGGTAAGAATCTATAGCTCTATATAGTACATAAAATTCAATGTCAGCCAGTTCAATTTTATTTTAAACTTCATCTTTAGAGAATGAGAAATGTTTCTCTGTTATCCACTGTTATTCACTGTTATACATAGCAAACTTATTTGGTGTCATGCCGTTCTGAATGTGACTCAGTGGTTATTCATTCACTACTAATATACATATAAGTTCCATTGTTTAAAACAGTAACACTAAAAAATTATATTATAGTCTTTAATAATTATTTTGGAATGCTGTTGTTATGCTTATACTTTATGGATACTGAATATATATTACCATAAATTCGTTCCTAGAATAGTTTGTTAATTACTTATTAGAACATAGAAGCGAATCAGAAGTATCTAGGTTAATATCTGTATTTACAGTGCACTGGACCATAGGACGGCATGTAGCCAGACTTAACCTACTCTGTGGCATCTCCTGCAATGCGGGTCTACCAACTCTTTAAGAAAGGACACCAGAACTTAAGGTTTAAGTTTTTGGGAGCCCCCTTCTTTAATACACTCGATGATATCTTCAGCATTAGTATTGGCCAGACTCTTGCCTTTATAAATGCATCTGGCTGGTTCTAGCTTGATCTTTTCTCTTCTACCCATTATTATACGGATTTGTGGATTCAAAACGACTCTCTTAGTTAATTGAGAAGAATTCGTGCCATAATTTTAGTAGTTTTGGATATTATATTATTTATCATTATTATTAATTATTTTCATTATCAATTATTATTATTATTATTAATTATTATTGTCATTAATTATTATTAATTATTATTTCCATTAGTATTATTGTTATTAATTATTATTTCTATTAATATTATTGTTAATAATTATTATTTCTATTAGTATTATTGTTATTAATTATTATTTCTATTAATATTATTAATTATTATTATAATTAATTATTATAAATTCTTATTATTATTATTAATTATTATTAATTATTATTAATTAATTGTTAGTATTATTAATTATTATATTCATAAATTAATATTATTAATTATAATTGTTATTAATTATTATTATTATTTATTATTATTATAATTATTAATTATTATTTAATTTAATTGTTAATTATTATTATTATTATACTCATTATCAGTAGTCTTTGCAAATTTTTGTTTGGATTTAATTGTACGTATAAAGCTTTGGACTTTAGGTACCAATGCTAAAACTCAAACCCTGCTAAATTTTAAGCGCATACTCACGTTAAAGACTATAAAACCAATGCCGTTCCCGTGTGCTATTCAGATCCGATTACAAAGTCGTTACTTGTCTCAATATTGACTTAAATCAGGGTTAAATTCATAGTCCTAACTTAAGCTTTAATACTGATTAATAATTATTTCATATTTATATTTTAAAATAAATATTTTTATTTTAGCTAAATACTAATTTCTTATATTCATTTTAACAGCATCGCATATGGAATTTTATGGAGAAACATCCCGATTTCCAACATTCCACCGAAACACTAGATTTGGAGCAAACTCGTCAGTTAGCAAACAAAAGAATGTTTGTACTATGGAAACAGGAATTCTATACTGTCAATGAGGTAACTTTAATTATCATTTTATTAAATGTATATAAACTAGTTAAATATCTTGTTGACAGTATATGAGTACACCACGTCTTTCATTGGCCATGGCTCAGGGCATGTTCACTTATGAATTCAGTTTCGCTGTAAAATTTTCACTTTCTAATGGCATGTTTACCAGTACTCTGTTAACGTTAGGCACAGAACGTCTAGCAAAATATGCGGAAAAAATAATCAACGGTGATATAATTGGCGCATTTGCACTAACAGAAATAAGCCATGGCACAAACGCACGTGGTATGCGTACTCGTGCCACCTATGATCCAAAAACAAAAGAATTTATTTTGCATACACCTGACTTTGAAGCGGCAAAATGTTGGGTCGGCAATTTAGGCAAAACTTGTACACATGCCATTGTCTACGCACAACTCTATGTACCAGATGAGACATATCAGGGTTTAAACGCTTTTCTGGTACCAATACGTGATGAACGTACACTCTTGTCATACCCGGGTGTTACTGTGGGTGATTTGGGCGAAAAAATTGGGCTCAATGGTATTGACAATGGGTGAGAGTTATGGTATTTGTTAAATTTAAATTTTTTCTAATAAACCATTTTACAGATTTGTTATGTTTAATCAATATCGCATACCAAAGGAGAACTTACTGTCAAAGACTGGTGATATTGATGAAGCAGGACGTTACAGTAGCCCCATTAAAGATAATCGTAAACGTTTAGGAGCTTCTCTTGGTGCTTTGTCAGCTGGACGTGTTAATATCTGTTCATTAGCTTTTGTAGCCTTAAGTAAAGCAATTACAATAGCAACAAGATATTCAGCATGTCGCAAGCAATTTGGACCTGACGAATCAAATGAAGAATGGCCAGTTATTGAGTATCAATCACAGGTAATCGGGAAAACCACTATTTTAGTTTTTTAAACATTAAATTTAAATGGACATTACCTTTTAGCAATATCGTTTATTCCCACATTTGGCAACAGCATATGCCTTGCGTGTATTCACCATGTGGATTGGCGTAGAAAATGTTGATATGACAATGAAGAACTTAATGGGTGAAGATGTCTCTACTTGGGGTATGGAAATACATGCCGTTTCTTCTGCTGCTAAGCCCGTCTGTACATGGGCAGCACGTGATGGCATACAGGAATGCCGTGAAGCCTGTGGTGGTCATGGTTATCTTAAGTCCGCTGGGTTGGGTGATTTGCGCAACGATAATGATGCTAATTGCACTTATGAAGGTGAAAATAATACACTTATACAGCAAGCATCAAACTGGCTAATTGGTTTACGACGCAATGGTGCTAATTTTGTTGAAGCTTCACCTATGGGCACAGTAGCTTTTCTTAAAGATATGGATAAAATTTTACAGTGCAAGGCTGAGGAAAGAAGTATACAGGATGCTATGCAGCCTGATAGTAAGCATTTTAAAAGAATATACATAAAGAACTTTTATTAATTGTTTAAATCCCTCAAAGATATACTAAAAGCTCTGAACTGGTTAACCGCTTGGCAATTGGACGTTACAGTCAAACGTTTTGAGAGTCTCAAACGTGAAGGTCTAGATGCCTTTGAGACACGTAATAATGTGCAGGTCTTCAATGCACAATTACTCTCCATTATATACGGACAAGTAAGCCTCAGATTGTTTCATGCATTTTTTGAATAAGTCTCATTTTAATCTAACTTTATCATATTTCAGCGCACAATTTACTTCATTATGTATAATTTTGTCAATAATTTGTCAGATTGTGATGAAAAATTAGTTTTGGGAAAATTGTTGTCCTTCTATGGCGCCAACTTGGTATTGAAGCATGCTTCAATTTTCTATCAAGGTGGCTATTTCCGTAACAACAACCAAACAGAACTATATCAGCAAGGTATTTTGAATATGCTTCCCACGTTGAAGAATGAATCCATATCTTTAATTGATGCTATTGCCCCATCTGATTTTATACTGAACTCACCGCTTGGCATGAGTGATGGAAATGTAAGTAATTTTGGTCTGGTTTAGATATCTATTTATTTTGGTATTATCTGCAATACTGTATTTTCAGATCTATCAACATTTGCAGCGCGCTATCGTATCTACTCCTGGTGTTTTCGAACGGCCGGATTGGTGGCGTGAAGTTACCTATAAAGACTATTTGGAAAGAGCTAAATTGTAAATTATTTTTTTTTTGTATATAAAAATTATAAAAAAAAATATAAAAAATTATATTAAATTTGTGATTATTGGGTGTAAAAAGTTAACATTTTATTTATTTAGGACTTTACTTATATGTAAATTAATTTTTTTAATATTGAACACACTTATGTTTATTTTTTATATATACATCATTTATGTATGTGCTTTTTAAAGTTAAAAATAAACTGAAATTTAAAAAAACTGATTGAGTAAAAAATTACTGTTCTCTATCTATCTATAGGTTTACATATCTTAAGTTCTGGATTACTACTTGTAATATTTTTTAAACCAAACTTTTATATTTATTTTCAATCTCTATAAGGAACAACTACACATATTTTCCATTAAAATCCGTTGCTTAACTTCATTCCAGTTATACCTAGTAAAGTAAAACTTGGACTAGGACATAGTTTTGTTATATTTTATTAATTATTATACCATAGTTTATTATATGTGCTAGGTAGGTGCCTGTTATTTCTGCAGACTTCCGGTTATAACCAAGTATTTTTTAGTGATGTCTTTTGCAGGCCCACATTTCCCTCAGGTAACTCATATTTTACAGTCATTATTTTCTCTTGTTATCCTAGTTCTAAACTGGTTATATCTAAGATTTGTAGATTTGTGGAATAAGATTATATATTAACTACGATTTGTATTATTGATGTGTGCAAGTTCTACTAATTCACACATTTTCCTTGATTATTAATGACGGAAATTGAACTGTCAGTAAAATGAACTTTACAAATATATAATATAAAACCCATTACATTGCTCTGGGGTACCGCAGCTGACTTTTGATGAAGCTGTTACTGCTTAACACTTCTTTTGACGAAAAAGTAATAGATTTGATGAAAATATAAATATTTGTTGGAAGAGAAGTGATTATTTTAGCTATATGTGATCAATTATTTCCAAGACATCTAAGAATGCTGCACAGGATGAATATATCGATAGAAAATTAATACCTTTATTTTATTATTGGTAACAACTGTTTGAAAAATATCGCTTCATATTTTTTAAAGTGATCGGTAGTAAGTTAATTGAGCGATAGGATTTATTGTGTTCTGTTGCCAGGTGTGAAGCTCATTTTTTTTGTGATACTTCCTTTTGAGATGTTTGAAATCCATAAATTAATATTGCATGTAATAATTTCATGGATTAATTACGGTTTTGTAAAACCTTACATATATCACATCTTCTCTTCGCAACTCCCTAGTACTAGCTTAAAATGCGCTAATAAAACACAACGTCACCGAGATGAGACCGACTCGGTGACGGTCTCATAATTTCCAAAATAATTTCCAAAATTAAATCGATTTAGTAAATGGTTCAGAAAAAAAATCGATTTCATTCAGTCTCAAGTGAATAATGCCTTGACTTGAATATTTGTTAGTTGTTCGAATAAAAAAATTGCTACCTTTTTATGTAAAAACTATATTAAGCTTTTAATATTTATTTATTAAGTTTAAATAGTTAAAAAGAAATTAGCGTATATAAACAGGTGTCATAAAGTCGGGTGTTGAACCGAAAGAAATATGTATTATTTTTGATTTGGTTTTTTTCCTGAAAAACTCATTGGTCTTATTAGTTTACTATTTACGGCCTCAAATTATGATTCAAAATTAATATTGTTATTATAGCTCGCAGGACTTTACTTGTATTGTCCCTTTTGAAAGTATTGAGTGACACTTGGTTGTTGTTATTGTAACTCCCTTGGATCTGTTTGTAAAATCCCCTTAGAGGGTGAACGGCACTTGGTTGTCGTGGTTGACAGGTGATTTTGGAACGTAGACTCAACCGTTCTCGAAAGCACGACACTTGGTCGTTGAACTTGACGAGCAGCTCTAGAGCCCACCGCTCTTAGAACTTTTTACATTTTATATGGTTCCCCACTGAAACTTGTAGTGCAAACTTTGTATTCGGCAAACTAAATCAAAAGATATTGCTAAAGACTAGTAATAATGTATATTTTGTAGTATTCAAGACAGTTATATGGGCAACCATACAATTTATTTAAATTAATATTAAAATATTGAGTTTAAAAATTTTCTCACTATTACCCCCATTTTTAATTTGAAATAGATTTTTTGTAACAAAACATAAAAATTTTAATTATTAAAAAATCATAATTTAGTTTATTACTTATTTTATAATTTAGGTTTAGGATTTCGTTCTAATATAAACACAGCTAGTTAATTTATTGATAAAACTTTCACAGCAAAGTAACAAGACTCCAGAAAAATGTGCTAATATAAAAGTCAAGTACGGCTTTGAATCAGTCGATTAAGAAGCGCTGACTCTGAGCTTCAAATTTGGCAGTGCACGAGTTCGATTCCTGGTACTTAAGGTCTTAAAAAAAAATTATTTACGAATAATTAAAGACAATAATTATTTCCAGGACTAGTAATGATGGGTATTTGGAAATACTCGAAACAGCTGTATGGTCACCCAAAAATTCAATTAATTAAAATAATGCAAAAAAATAGTTTTTGTTGTTGTAATGCACTACTTGTTCGCAAAACTTTTTTACTTATTTTAATTTATAAAGAGAGTTCTGATTAAATTAAACAATTTAAAAAAAAAAAAAAACTATATTTTTAATGTTTCTTGTAGGTTATTTGTATTCATATTAAATTTAAAGGTAAATACATTATTTTAGAATAAAATTCGTTTTTTTTTAATGTTAAATAAATTATTATTTTGTTGTTTTCGTAAAAATTTTTATATGCTTGACAAAATCATTTTTGTTGTGTTTTGTATTTAATATATACATATATATATTTCAACTATAATAGATTTGCACTTAACATTTACTAATTGTATCTTAGACTTCATATTTGGGCGTTTATATTTCATAAAATATGTGATGTTCTTTGTATATGAACAGCACTAATATTAAGTCACAACTGATACATATTGCAAGATAAGACTAAAAATTAATTTATATTTTTAAATATTTGTACAAATATTTTTCCTCCTAATTTTTTTATTTATAATTATCTTTATTGCTTATAAAACTGATCTTTTTTGTACAATCAAAAATTTGTATCGCTAGCAAAAGCACTTCGACAAATGTATATTTACTATGTATTTACAGAATAATAATTATCATTTGAAATAGAGAGATTATTTATTTAGTTAGTAACAATATTAACATTTTATTTAATTTTTTCATTTTAAATTTTTTTCATATATACACATCATATACATACATTCATATACATATATACACAAACAAATAGAAGCCATAAATTAAAATTCATTTGGAACTATTTGTAAAATTTGTGAAATTAAATAATTGAAAAAGCAAAATTGTAAATTAATTAATGGTCATGATTATTGAGACTTATAAATATAAATTAATTATAATTTATTAAGCTATAACACAATTCATTTATACAGTTTTTTAAAAATATGTTTGCAGTATACAAATTAATCATCGGTATTCACTGCTGAAAATAATAATAATTTAATAAATATGATTTCTTCAGTTTTTTCACTATAACATCCAATTGTATAACATTTTCATTCTAAAATTTTTATAAATACAAACTATTATGTGTAAACTGAAACTTAAAAGGAAAGAAGGAAATATTTGTATACTGCAAAATTATTTTAAACAATTGTATTTTGACCAAAGGTTGTCAATATATTAATAATAATAAAAATAAATAATAAATTATAAGGGTCATTAGTAGCACAATTAAAATAAAATTTTATAAAAAAAATTTTATATTTTAATTACCAACAATATGTTTATGATAATAATTATTTTAGTTTTAAAAAATAAATAATATTTAATCTAAAAGATCACAGTTAGATTTTGGAAATATATCATAAAATATGTCCTATGCTAAATTATTTTATATACATAGATTAAAAAATATATAATATATATTATCTTCCAACACAGTTGAATTGAAATATCAGCAATAAGAAATTATTTACAAAAATATATAAATAATAAATTAAACACTAGAAAATTTCTCCAGAACCCGATTCTGCAAACTCTTCGCGATATTGATACTTAGAAGAGGTGTCCTTATTTCTTGCAGTTATAGTAGCTCTCTGTTGTTCTGATCTTAAGGGTATAGTTGCCGATTTTGCTGTTATCGGAGTAACTAATTTGTCTATATTTGCCAATTCATTTTCTGTTTGAGCTAACATTGGTATTTGTTGTGGTAAGTCACTAGTAGCCCATAAATATAAATCTAATGTTTTTTCAGTGCAATCAGCGATAAATCGTACAAATGGGCGTATATCACCCTCATTTGCCAATTGTAAAAAATGATAATATTTGTGTCTAAAATTGTTATTTAGTTTTAAATATGAATTATTTGAAAATGAGAAAGTAAATATCAAAACGCCCACCTCTGTTGCTTTGGTATAATAACTGGTGGATATCCCGCACGCATAAGTAGTGTATTCATAAGTAAACGGGAGGTACGTCCATTACCATCAATAAAAGGATGTATATGCACTAGTTTATAGTGAGCCAATGCCGCATGTCTGTATTTTGAAATTGTTAATAATATTATATATAAATATTTGTAAAGTAATGTTTTTATAAAGAAAAATAGAAAAAGCCTTTAATAATAATTTATTAATCGTTTGTATCATTATTAAAAACGTATAAGTTTTCGTTTAGCAATTTTTTAATAACTTGCAAAAACTTTATTGACAATATATGATACAAAACTAAAAATAATATATTAAATATTACCAAAAAATATTGCCAAAAATTTAATTATAAGCAAATAAAAGGGATATTCTTATAAATGAATTTTCCTATTAACTACTGAACCATTAAACAGAAATTTATAAAAATTTTAGAAGATGTTAGACACAAAAAAATGTTTAAATATAATTAAACATATTTAAATAATTATTGTTGTATTTACAGTCATTTAATGAGACTGTATTGCACCAATAACAAAAATACATAGACCACAAATATATTTAATTTAATTACATTGAAATTAAAATATTACATTAAATTATTATATTAAAGAAATAGACAGGCGCCATGTCTCAATAAATACTGAAGTTGCATATAACATATAGTAAATATTTTGGTGTTTATAAGCATATAAAAAATACTTACTTCACAGGATGTAGTGACATGGTCTGTTCTGAATTTAACCAATTTTCAAAATGTCTCATAAGTATTGCTAAGTCACCTGGCCCTGGAGGTATATGTCCACCAACATAAACCTGTGTGCGTCTAAATTCTCCACCCTCAATTGGATCAACATGACCTAACACACGTCTATGAATTTCTAAAATATCCTTTAATGTGATTTCCATTCTATAATTATTAAAATAAAAAAGAAATATATTAATTTTAATGAGTTCAATTTGATTTTTACAACAAAAACCAACTTACTTATTTACTAAACTGGCATTAATATATTTCATAGCTAAATCTAAGCCAAGGATTTCATTATGTTCATCGATTGACTTCCCATCCACAGCCATACGTGTTTCTAATATAGAACGTGTTTGTGATAAAGTCATTGTGTTTCCTTCAATGCCCACCGAATGGTATATGTGTTGGAAATACGCCTCCTTTTTGGCACGACGTAATGAAGCATTCGATTCATGTATAGCAGACAGCGCATCACGTTTGACATCAAGTGTTTGCAAACGGCGTTCATCGATTGATTGTACAATAGTGGCAGTACGTTGGCGGTTTACAAGTGCTTCCACATTTTCTGGATTCAAATTAAGTGCCTATTATGTATATGAATATATATATAATTAATTCAAATTAAAAAATGAATTTATTTTGTATTACTTGAAAATAAAATTGGTCTGCTTGCACAAAGTCATTTTGGTTATATTCCAAATATTCGCCGTAACTTAGTAGTACTTTTGCATGTTTTGGCGCTAAGGCATAAGCATGCTCAAATAAACGCTGTGCTTTGTCAATTTTATTAGCATTACGCATTTCTTCAGCCAATTTTAACGAGCTCAAAGCTTCTTTGATGTTTGCTTCATCAACTTCAGCAACAGCACTAGCAGCTTCACCGTAGAATTCTTTAAGCGCGTATTCTGACGATGTATCATATATGGCAAATTCATCACGCACTTGTAAGTAATGGGACTCTGGCAGATGCTGTAGTTGTTTGGTGGGACTACGCCATACTGTACCCAATGGCAGTGTATGTGACAGTAAGTACGCAACAATAGCGACTAGTGAACCAGCTATAAATATCAATATATTACTGCAGGATATGTGTATTAGCATCGCTCCCATCGGTGGCTTGTGAAAAGTAACTCCTAATGGAGAAGTTATTTTTCGGTTGTCAATGTTATATAGTTTCTGCTTCATATTCCTAAAATTGTTTTTAAAGCTTTAAGTGTAAATTTTTTACTGGCAACTGCTGGCAAACTGTGTTTTTTATGGGAGGTGTTATTATTATTTTGTTTTTCATACAAGTTGTACTGGTCAAATATTCTTTCGTTGAAAGCAATTTTTCGCGACGTTTTGTTTCCTTTTTTGGCGAGAACACATCTTCAAATACTATGCCTTCAAAAAAAAATAAAAAAATATATTATATATAATTAATATTATTAAAAATCACTATTTTACCTATGCTGCCAAAACTATTACGAATTTGTCTGACGTGTTTTTTTATTTAAAACTTCATTTGTATATCAGCTGTTCAGGTAAACAAATCTATATGCACAGCGCTTGCTTTGGAGAAAGAGAGAGTGAAAAGGCACACAAGGCAATGTCAAATAAGTTATCAGCTGTGTAACCTTTTTTGACATATCAAAAATGTGAATGTCTACAAAGAGAAAACACAGAAGATCATGCGAATAGAAAGCCGTGTAAATGTCAAAAATGTTAAAAATAAGTGTACGCTTTTTGTATATAAACAAAGTATTGGGAACAGTTGAAAGAAATTTATTAAATTAAAAGTATAAAATATTTTTTTCAATTTTTTAATAAAACTTGTGATTATAAATTGCGAATAATTACATTAACAAATAGTAAATTTCGTGTATTTTAAAGCTGAATTAAAAATAAATAACACTGAAATTGCTGATTGGAACAATAATAACATTGAAATTTCTGCGAATATTATATCAGATATCCAATACAACAGAAAATTATGCATTATTTTATTAAGTATGTTAATTAAAATTAAAAAAAATTTTTTTTTTAAAAACATTTATGAATTTTCTACAGATTCTGCCACATAACACGGGAACAACAACAAATCGTATAAATTTATGAAGATGTACAAAATAAATTTTAATTTGCTTATATTCACATTTACATTAAACACGCTCATCGATTGTGTTATTATGTTAAAAATGTTGGTAGTCAGATCAGTGGAAAATCATTCCATGTTATAGGAAAATAAGTTATAAATCGAGCCATGTACTGAGTCAATTATCTACAACTAGTGTATCTATCGCTACACTTAACCTGTAGTAAGGAGTGACAATAATATGCAGCCTAGCAAATTAATGAAACCAAAATAATATACATCAGTTGTTGTTCTAACCAAGCATGATGTTCTATTTGCGCTTTAGATGTGTACGAATGAGGCAGGTTAATAAACAATGGATAGTAGAGTCTATGTCCCAGAGTCACTTGTCAAGTTGGACGATCAAGTGCTGTTCAGTATTCCCTAAAAGGGGGGATTACACAAGCCGATGCTTGCGTGCTATAACTACAACAACATGAACGATCCTTGCAGGCTATAACTACAACAACATAAACAGCATAAACAGACAAAGATTATGCATTTACTTGATTTTTTAAATATATGAAGTTATAACCGGTAAATTACAAGCGGCAAGTGGATGATAAACGCCAAATTTATCGAGTGTGTATAGAAAGTATACGAGTAAAACGTAAGTCGTTCAATGATTTTTAAAGAAATTTGTATTTCTTTAATTTAACACGTTAAAATTAATTTGAATGAAATTTGTAAATGCAGTCAAACTTCGATAACTCGAAGTAACAAGGTTCGACTTGTGCAGAACTTCGAGTTAAAGGGCACTGCTCTCTAAACCTTAGTGCCCTCTATTTAGTTTGAATTATAGAAAATTCGAGTTATAGAAGTGCGAGTTATGAAAGTGTGACTGTAGTCAATATTAATTAATATATATATATATATGTCATTTATTTACATATTTATCATTCATATATATGTTCCACATATTTGAAAATATATGCACTGTGAAGAAATATCTTTATATTTAACGACATTTTTAACAGAAATGCTATTAACAATATTTACCACAACATTTGAAGCTGTTAGAAAATTATGAAGTCAGCGTGGAGCTGTAAGTCAACTTTCGTGATTTAATTTTAAAATATCATTTAATTTATTCTAATATTTTTTATACAACAGAATATTTTGCTCCAGCATCATGTAAAATAATTTACTATAACATAAAGTTAATAACATATCAAGCTGCAGACTAAATGCAACAACTCTCGCATTTCTTCCCAACTATTCGATGTCATAGTCGATGTTCAGATTGATTTTTGTAGACATACTTTTTAAATCCAAATTGTATATCTATAGATAGCAGTTTTAAAGTTGGATTAATTACAATACAGCATAGAATAGAATTTATGCTGTGGGAAATGTCACAAATTGGGGCTATCTTCAAGTGGATGATTCATTTGTTCCACGGTAAACAGTACTTTTCAAATATATTTTAATTTGAAGCTGTTTATATATAATTTCGATGATTCCAAGGATTCCATTTAAACTGCTGCCCCATTGTATTGATGCTATCAATAGACGAAGAAATTAATTTTTTTGTTGTTGTAGTAACCCGCTGGGACTCAAAAACAGATGACATTAAAGGTTTTACACGATGAAGACAGGAAGGCAGGAAGAAAATTATTTTGAAACCAGTTGCTGCTTGCTTATCTGGTAAGTAAAATAATATAGAATTTAATTTTAATTTTTGTTATAATTATTTTATTCCGTTATTGAATATTTTATTTCATTAAGGTTAAAATTTAATGCTAGAAAAATTTAGGTTTTTATTTTTTACATATTAAGAAAACATTGATATATGCAATGTAGTGAGAATGACATCAGATCCACTATAAAGCTTATAGGTATACTCTTGATTAGTTTAATCTACACGACTATTGAAAAATATTTGTCTCTTTGCCTCTTATGTTTTTTTTGGAAAAATTTTTTCACATTTCTTGGCACAACTGAAGTCTCTAAATTATTGAGTAGAGAACACTGTTTGAAAATAGGTTTTTGTAGTAAGACCGACTTTCTATTGGAAATCACATGCAAAGAAAGGTCGATATTTACCAGATCTTCTATCACAATTTTATAACATGTCAACGAATAAAAATAGAGTTTTTCTGTCTTTCAGGATAATAGGTCTTCTGAATAACTTCCACATCCGCAAACGAGGAATGATTTAAAAAAAGAAAAATAAAATTCATACGATATCAAATCATTTGAATATTTGAAATAGTTTATATCGAAATGTTATTTTTACAGTACAACTGTAATGAATCTACTTAAACTTTGTATTAAACTGCCAATACCTATTTTTAAGATCATTGTTAGTTTTGAAGCTCACTTTCAGAATGTTATCAAAATTCTATTTGTCTTGGTACAGCTGCCATAGAAACAGCACATTTAGAAATATGTTTTTTAAAATAAAAACTTATTATATTTGTTAATAAATTATAATAATAAAATATAATAAAAACTTATTTTAATAGAAACTTATTATATTTGTTAATATATATATGGTATATGTATATTTATATATCTTGATATATTTATATATCTTCACATAAACAGTTGAGATATTTGATGAGGAGTATTATACAAAACTATATACCGAGTTTTCTATTGTTTCTAAATGATTTATTTCAAATATTTAATGCATTTAATGCTTTTTTAATTAGTTTAATTTAGTTTACATTTAGATATATCTACATATATGTTATACACCTAATAATATTTATATTAGTTTCTTATAGAAAAATTTCTCACATTCCTAAATGGTGCGGTGACAGCCACATATATATAAGAGTGTATCCTAAATAGTATCATATAATGTAAAGAGGGATCATGAGATAATGCCACTTTCGTTTTAATTGTAATGGACTATGCCACTTTCCTTTTAATTATAATGGACTAGTAGCGAAGCTATAGGCATGGCAGTCTTAGCAAAAATAGGTGAATTATGAAAATCTTAATATTATTAATGACGTTGCAAATTAATAATTAAATTATATATTCCAAATTTTCAACAATTTAATTATAACTGTTAGTTAACTATTCATCATATCCATTTGAAAGAATGCTGTACATATAAACAAAATCATATAGTATATAACATATAACACAATGTAATAACAGGCTATATTTATGTAGACTATATTTATGTAGACTATATTTATGTAGACTATATTTATGTAGACTATATTTATGTAGACCTTTTCAAAAAAGAGAAACATTTAAAAAAGTGAACTCATAACTACTCTAAATATAATATAAATATCTATATCATTTTTATTGTTTACACCTAGTACCTAGTGTAAACAATAGTACACCTGTAATATATCGGGTTTTAATTAAGTTCTTATAGGTACATATTGTATAAGTTACCTTTAAGCTGAGTAAATAATATTATTTTCAATATACAATAAATTGATATCCTTTCCATCCGCGCTTACGGACAGACTAAAACTACAGCCTTTATAGTTATGGTCAAAACTATAAAATTGCTATTGAATTAAAATTTTTTTTTTGTTGAATCTGCTTTTATTTTTTTTTAGTCAATTAAACACATATAAAGCTTTGTGTGTAATCAGGCCTTAAACTAGATACATACGTGAAATAGTTATCAAGGAAACTGGTCATAAAGAAAACATTTACATATATTTATAACAGATAGTATATTATCAGTGAATATTCGCCTGTATATACTGGGTTTATTCTGTACATAGATGCTCAACGCCTGATTTATATACACAGTCTTCACTACATTGAGTGACAAGTCTCACTTAGTCCAATTATATGGAATATAATAGCCAGCAAATTAAGTTTATTCGTGCGTAGCACTACAGAAATGCGTTTGATCAACTTTTTATTTGACATTCTCAGCTACGGTACCCAGTTACCGATTTTGATGAACTCATTTTGATGGGAAAAGATGTCTTTATCAAAATCACTTTGCTTGTACTCGCAAAGTAACTTTATTTGATCAGTATTTCAAGTGTAAAGAATTATACTATAACTAGTATTTGATAATTCATGCACAGTATTCATCCGCATATCCGTAAAGAAAGAAAAAAAGGACTACTATTATTATGTGTACCGATTTCAAGACTTTTGCTTGCTGTATCAAACTATAGCTTCTTTTTATTATGCAGTTAAGGGATTTGAATGGACGATGTGAGTGGATTGTTTCACCACCATAGTAAATTACTTCCACTTTTTCTTCAGTAGTAAATAAGGAAAATTTAGTCCGGTATTAATTTACTCGCTGATATCTAGTAATTGCTATCTTTATATTGAACTATCTTAAACTCCCAGCACCAATTCTTTCTATGATCCGACCACTAGAAATATGCGAAAAATATTGTTTTCTCTTTTTTAAACTAATACTGAGAGAGTACTGAGCGTATAAATTCAATATATGTGCACATGTGGGTTCCTTCAGTAAATTTTACTATCAGATAAAGTTCTAGATATGTTAAGTATCTTTGTGTGTGTGTGTGTGTGATTGCTTGAACATATTGAAAATTGCATCATTGTAATAAACATTCATTAGAGAACAACTGAATTATTGTGAAAAGCTTGCCATTGTAGTTC